TGAAGCACAGTAGTGCATCGAAGACGCATAGAGGCTACCAAATGAGCATTGAAGGCCTGGGGAATGGTTTTGGACGTGGTCACTGCTGTCTGGAACCTTTATCTGAGATGAGTCACCCGAATCCATCTGTCCTGTCTTGGCGTCGTTACGTCGGGAACGACCAGAACGTGGGTGGTTCGCGACGTCATTACTGTTTCGATAACGCCTGAGCAATGCAGATATCGTGTTACGATGGCATTGGAAATGTGCTGCCACCTGTTGTGGGCTCATTCCTGCTCGAACCATTCCAATGGCTTCATGACGTTGAGCAGATGTTAATCTTGGCATGATGTGCATGTGATTTCTCATGTGAATTTGTGAACGTTTGAATGACCAAAGATCAAGCTTTCGACAGTGACAGCAATTTAAGAATTTCACATGTTGTGTGCAGCTGCACCGGCTGCACGTGCAGTAACACATTGCAAGGCCATAGGCCACCGTCAATGACGTCACATCGCCTGGCACGTGCATGAGCGTTTGATTGTCTCAATTACTTGCTATGTTCACAAATGTAGTTATGTATAAAGACGCTGTGTGCCTATATTTATATTTTCTATGTGCACAGTTTCTTTATGCGGCCAGTACATAAGCATTTTACACGTTGTACTAACATGGAGAATGGAACCTTTGTCTCTAGTATTACATGCCACACTACCAACCCTCAATACAGGAATACACGTTCATGTACATTTTAAGGTTGGTTGGTTGTTGTTCAACGCCGCACTCAGCAGTATTGCAGCCATGTGGCGGCGGCCTGTAAATAATCGAGTCTGAGCCAGATAACCCAGTGATCAATAGCATGAGCATCGATCTACGCATTTGGGATACGATGAAATGTGGCAACTAAGCCAGCGAACCTGACCACCCGACCCCGTTAGTCGCCTCTTAGACAAGCATTGGTTATTGCTAACTTTTAAGGGATTTGCTAATCAATAAATCAAAAATCTACAAGCTTATCTTGAGATGAGAAATACACTCCAGAGATTGAAACTTTGGATAAAGCTGGAGTGAATAAACTTACATTTACATAAATTGTTTGATTTGGGGAGCAGCTGATTATGTCGGCTTGTTTACATTTGCCCTCCGTCATTACAAAGACGACGGAGTTTGTGAAGGGGATGTTACTTGATGATACCGTCCACGATAGACCAATGGTCGACGATGTAACGGACGTCGTCTTCGCATCGTCGACTTTACCTGGGACTCGGTTACTTCCTAATACCTGGAAATCAATTTCATTTTTGAGTGAGGGGGTATAGTGTTACGAATATTCCAGCAATATCATGGCGGGGGACACCAGAAATGGGTTTTACACATTGTACCGATATTGGGAATCGAACCCGGGTCTTCGGCCTAAGGAGCGAACGCTTCAACCACTAGGCTACCCCACCGCCCTATTTTCATTTATATTGAGTATAAGGGCGTTAGATGTCATCATGTACAGATATGGGTGGAACATGGTAGGCCAGATACTTACATTTCACTCTTTATATTATTTTGTAGGTATGAGGTACTTGATTGAACACTGGATTTAACATCTTTTTGAATAATATACTGCCATTTTTTACACTGATGTATGCCACATGATGTGGCGTTTAATTATAATTTCAACCTCACAGAATATTCAATCTTGATTATCTACCAAAACATGCTCCCTTCAGCGCCACAGTGCGGTGAAAATGATATCAATGGAAAATTTGTGGTGGCACAAGGCGTTTATGAAAAGGATAGCATGGCCTACCCTACCGTTACTACCCGCTCCTCTCACAATTTGCGTGAAACGACAAACATATAATACCCTCTTCAGAAAAAGAAACGCATAATCTAGTTTAGAAGAATTTATTGCGTTAGTTTAAGAGGAATTGTTTCATGTAATTTGAAAGGTAAAAATGTGAAAATCCCCACGTCTATAGACAAAGAGTTCGCCCACACAATAGCAGATCGAGTTTATCCCATAGGTGTTTATGACAGAAAAGTTACAGATGAAGTAGATCACTCCGGTAAGAACGGTAACGGTAAACAGTTTTGGAGGACTCTGAAACGCCATTTTGACCCATTCTCAAGTAATACAATAAACGCAAGCAAATGGCAAACTTATTTCGGGAACTTACTGAACCCCGATGTCATGACAGGAGACAAATCTCAAAGTGTTATAAACCACTTCATAGACCAACACTCATGCGAAGACTAGTGGTTTAGCTGACAGTGATGCCTCTCTGGAAGACGAAATCAAGGAAGAAGAAATCAAACGGTCAATCCACGGCTTTGTCAACGGTATATCACCGGGTCGAGATGGTATACCCCCAGAACTGTTCAAACTGATTAGTGGTTTTTTTCCTTGAAAATCTGAAATTGCTTTTCAATTAAGTATCAGACATTGAAACTTTCCTAGGTGAATCGACAATGGAATGGTTATCCCCATCTTCAAATCAGGAGACCCAAAGGATCCAAACAACTATAGGGGTATCTGATCACTTCTCAAAGTCATTTGGGAAATATTTACTGATATTATCGAAGAGAGGTTTAGACGACGGGTTGAAACAAACGAACTTATCTTACCTTCATGTAAAATACTTTAATTTCATTGGTCAATGACGCATTAGGTTTCCGTGTCACTCCTCCCAGGAGGGTGACAGCTAGAAAATATATTACCGGCTGCCACGGTAACTGCCAAACTCTCCGCCGAGAAACTGTATCGCTAACAATCGTATGACGTCATAATATGACGCATGCAGTGCCCGGAGTTCGAAAAGCTTTCGTTTAGCTGTTTTTGAGTTCACTATGTACACATTTATTTTATAGACTTTCACTGCTTTATTTAAACTATTTTATACACTGAATCGTTTGCACACTTAATTTAAACATAATTAACCACTTTAAAGCAGTTTTAAGCTTGTCAGAATATGTTTCACTGATTTGAAAAACCCAGTCGAGAGGCAGACGGGATTTTGTTTACATGTCTTTTAGTCGGTAGCAATATTCAAAATAAAATAAATTAATATTTTGTACATTTAACATATCAAAAAGATAAATAAGGTGTATGCTTCTCCCTCGGGTAAGACGGTCTGATGTACGCATCGTTGTAGCAGTGTTATCCCTCGCCTACCGGCACGGGTAACACTGCAACAAAGATGCGTACATCAGAATGTATTACCCTCGACAGAACCATACAACTTATATTATATCAGAAAGTCAAGTGGGATTCCGTCCCGGATATTCTACAGCAGATCATCTATTCATGCTTCAATCAATATGCTCAAAATATCTTTGTAAATCAAAGGGTAGATTTTATTGTTGTTTTGAAGACTTCCGAAAGGCCTTCGATCTTGTGGACAGGAAAAGAATGTTGACTCTATTGCTTCAAAAAGGATGTCATGGAAAACTCATTAATCTTCTTAAGAGATAACGCAACTGAAATATTCACAACATCTGCAGGGGTTCGACAAGGTCCATTCTCAGCCCAGTGTTATTTATATTGATATTTTTTCTGATTTTCGTTTAAATTGTGCAAACCCAAATCACACCGAAAAAACTTCAAATAACATGATTGCCTTTTTGGAAGACAGATTTTCATGTCCTTAACAGATATCATGCTTACCTTTAAACTGGGAGATGACATAACAAGTGAAATCAAATTGGAACAGATATATTAGAGTGAGTGAGTTTAGTTTTCCGCCGCACTCAGCAATATTATATCTATATGGCGGCGGTTTGTAAATAATCGAATCTGGATCAGACAATTAAGTGATCAACAGCATGAACATCGATCTACGCATTTGGGATACGAGGGCATGTGTCAGCCAAATCAGCGAGCCTGACCGACCACACGATACCGTTAGTCGCCTCTTACGACAAGCATGGGTTACTGAAAATTGATTCTCACTGGATTGTGTGGTCCAGACTTGATTATTTACATACATCTGGATTATTGTTAAGTGTGGCTTTAAACAACAGACAAAAAAAAACTAAAGCGCTTGCTCGTGATACATTTGGAATCGTACAATCGGTTCAGCATGTACCAGACATGGGGTGGGTTCTATCGCATTTAAACAGACAAGGATGATCCTCCTATGCGTGTCCTTTCTGCTGAAAGACTCAACGACTCATTTTTTGATTGACAGTGTGGACTTTGCAACTGCACGGGATTCCCATTATGACAATTAAAGCATGTTGTGACAGACAGTGTTCTAAATTGCAAATAAAATTGCTTTTGACACTGTACCCATGTTGTGAAGAGCGAACACTTTACCCTCTAAGCTAACCGTGGTGCCTTACACGTGGCTGTCTTATATGATTCGGTTAATGTCCCGATATATAGAAGGACATACAAAGAGACATGTAGGTCTGTACACGGGGCTTGGTGATATTACTAGTATTCATAGAGGCTCAACTGTAAACAGTTATTTATCAAACACGAAACTAAACAAAACCAAAATTAAGCCCACTCTCGAATAGATGTCCATTGTGACTGAATGCTGGGAGCATTACCAGGCACTGTTTATGTAACGTCAAGGCGCGTTTTATTTACATATGTACAACGCCTTTAACTGTGACCGTTGCACTGTTGCACAATACACAGTCAAATGTAGGGCACGTTATCAGCTCGTGACAGTGTTGCTATGCTACCGTCGACCCTTATCGATACCAGTGTGACGTGGTGTGGAGTATGTAAATAAGGAATGGATGCTAATTCATTCTGCTTTAACAGAAGCAAACTAGGAATGTGCAAAACCTAATGATTTATTTGATTGGTAAATTGTATAAATGCACTATTTAAACCTTTCATATTTTGACTGCATATAATGACTTGCAGCCAGCATGTCAAGTTATGAAACGTTGTTTGTCACCGGAAGTACTAAGGTCTCGCGAAGTGCCGTGACCTTCTTACGGACCCCATTGTCGTCGGGAGGACATGTGAATAGAGACGTTGGCATATTTACCAATGACGGACAAACACAGTATTGTCCCAGTGAGTATTTATAAAAATCACTACATTATTCACAGTAGATTTTGGTATACGTTCTTCTTTTGTTCTGTGCCGCTTCACCTTGACAAGATCCCAGTCCTGTCCTCTACCAACAAGTCCCACAGTCTCACCTTTCTGAAAGTGGTAGAGTGATTCAGATTGTTAAAATTCCCTGAACACACATTAAATTTTAAACTTAAAATTACAAGACTGTATGTTTTGTATTTGATCCGCTGATAAGATAAGAACATCATATTTAGTTTCAACACACTGGTCCATAGCTATGGTATAGTTCGTGTTTTCCCGAATACCCTCAAGTAAATAACATGTAGAAATAATAACGAGTAAATATCCTGAGTAAAATATCCTCTTGACGTAGAGGGACAGACAATGTATAATACAGTGTTTCTTTCAAGTTCACTGTCGTTACCCAAAAGAAAGTCATGTTGCCCTCTCAAAATAACTTACAGTGACCAAGTAAAAATACTTCTTATTGGGTAAGATCAATTTGTTGTGTAAGGGAAATGAACTATTCACATTCATTTGCTACGTGGACTTTAAAAGCACTGTAACTGATCATGAATTCATTGCCTTCACGTTATGGCTTGCCCGGATAACACACATTCGCTTGTTCAATTGTCGTAATTCTAGAAGTTCATAAAGCCATACTGACAAATAATACAAGCACTGAATGATTCGAAAGATTCACGTAGCACAGATAATATTAAATGATATGATTGATCAACTACTGCCGACCAAACTTCAGAAACATCGCATGGCACATAAATAGCAGCAAATACTGAAAGTCATTTACAAAGATTCGGCAAATACCTCCTTGTTGTAAATAAAAGCGACAAAATCTATTCCAAATTCATAACATGTCCTTCCTCAGACAGTCAGTGAGTGTGGCTTAATGCCGCTTATAGCAATATTCCAGCAAGATCGCGGCGTTTGACTCTGGAAATGGGCTTCACACATTGTCCCGTGTGGGGAATCGAACCCGGGTCTCCAGCGTGACAATTTGGCTTCCCCACCGCCCCTCCTCTGACAAAGAAGATGTACATCAATAGAGTGAAATAAGTTGAACATAATTTATTTCGCCAATCTGTCAAATTGGGAGATGTTAAATATACGATGAAATGTAATTACAGAAAGATTGATTTCGCACATGTTATGTTCGAAATGTAATTACTTACTTAGAAAGAGAGCAGTGGCAGCCACAATGAGAATGACTATTACAGATCCCAGTGTGGCGGAAGCAACGATTACTGGCTTGGAACCTGAAATTGTCAAAAGATTTAAATTTATTGTGGCTCCAATTATAATGAGGTAAAACCTTCGCGGTTACGTATGGTAATGCTTAGAGACGGAAACAGTAACACTGCACCTTACCTGTCACAGTTGTGCTTGAATTTGATGAAAATCCGTAAGACATTTCTGTAACACAGCATTCTTATCGTTAGGTTTTAGTTTGTTTCGTTTTTGTTGTTGTTGTTGTTTTGCTTTTGTTTTCTTTGTTTTGTTTTTTGTTTTTACTTTCTTGTTGTTTAGCAATATTTCAGCAATATTCCAGCAATATGGCAAGGTCTGTATTTAATCGAGTCTGGACAAGACAATCCAGTGATCAACAGCATGAGCATCGATCTACGCAACTGGGGTACGGTGACATGTGTCAACCAAGTCAGCGAGTCTGGCCACCCTCTTACCGTTAGTAGCTCAGCTGTACCATTCCAGAACGTAGTTCTTTACCAATTATACACATCTGATGAATGAGCAAGAATTAGCCCTGAAGCGTTGTGACAAAGAATAAAAAGACGTTGTTATCCATAAAACGTGTCATGTATTCATGTTCGTCCAACATCTAAATGCCTTTCAAGAACTTCAGTTATATACTCTTCCAAAAATGAAACTTGACACAGGTAAAGATCATGTTATTATTGTTACAGAATGAAATAAATCGTTACGACAAGAAAGTAGATCAACGAATGCCTGAACGGTAAGAAATACGCCCGATTCTCATAAACATAGATGTACTGAAACGCAAAAACGCCAACGTCAGAGATGCATCAAGGTGTTCTGTTGCCGCGCGTGCCGAACCCTGTGGGCCGGGCATGAAAGGCCACATCATCAGTGATGGACCGCATGATGACACAAAAATGTCAAGATCAACGTGGGTTCAATGAGACTGCAATCAGGAGGAACTCAGAAAGCTGTGGCAACTTGAAGGTACTCTGATGTGTAGAGACAGGCCACCACTGCTTTATAGGTACGGTACAACACCACACAAATCGTACAATTCGATCGTTTTGGTGTTTGCAGTGTAATGATGTAGACAGGTACGACGCCTCCTGTGCATGTAGCAGGTGCACTGACGGACATCAGATATCGTGACGTGAAGCTGCAACACCAAGTCATGCTGCTCAACGAAAGACTGTTCCAGCATGACAACGCCAGGAGGAGTTTCTACCGTGCCATAACTTGCCCAAATTGTCTTGCCCGTTCGCCCAATTTGTCTCCAATCGAAGATCTATGGAATGCACCGGATAGTGTGTGCGCCGGAAGAATCCACCACCCCAGACACTTTCGCAACTTCGTACGCCACTGCAGCATGAGAGGCAGAACATTCCACATGGTGTTGTGCAACGTTTGATTGTTTCCGTGCGTCACCGCTGCATTGCTGTCATCACTAGTGGTCATTACTGACATTGGCATTTTGCCCACTCGTATTTCACTCTCATGCCTGTTAACATGTTTCAGCTGGTTTCATATAGATATTGTTTGTGTTATGTTTAGTGTTATCCCTTTCCTATAGTGTCACGATCTTTTTTTGCTTGCAACATTTATTTTGTCAACCAGCTTTTAAATTTTGAAAGAGATGGTCAAGTTTCCTTTTTTAAGGGTATATATCCGAGAATGTTATTATACTGGTACATGTATGCTTATAATGTTGAACTATGTAAATGCATACAATGCAAATATTCTTATGTTGGAACTTGGAAGATGTTTAGTGAGAATGTTATCAATGTTATATTCATGATTACACTATGCTAATAAAGTACAATGCTAGTACTTTTTGATATTGAGTCCCATCCAAGTTTGATCCCAAATTTAATCCCATTTAATGTGGAAAGGTCTAATTTACCTGATATTTTTTTTAACTTTGTTAAAGAGAATAAAAGTCACCGTCCCCAAAGTGAACAAAACATTATTCAGTTAAATTCACAACTTTCACTTACGTGCTCGATCTGCTAGAAATACCGTAGTTGCTTTGTCTCCCTTGAATTCAGCATTTGCCCATATCTGCATGTGCAAGAGATCAGTGTAAGTGAAACTGTTCTACGATAACGACAACCATTTATGAGAATGTATATGTACTATTTATGCCGTAGTTCATATCTTCATTCTGTGCATGCTTACCCTTCTCGTGAACACTTTGAGTCATCATTTTCAGTGATCCATTCACATGATTTAAGCAACTGGATTTCAGTTACATGAAATGAATCTGTTTCTCATAATATAATCAAGATTGGGTATTCTCTTGCACTACTCGTGAAGATCCGGGCTAAAATTGGTCTTCAGAAACCCAAAAGGCAACTAAAGGGATCGGATGGTCGGACTCACTGACTTGGTTGACACATGTCATCGAATCCCGATTTTGAAGCCCGATGCTCATGCTGTTGATCACTGGATTGTCTGGCCCAGACTCGATTATTTATAGACAGCCGCCATATAGCTGGAATATTGCTGGGTGCGGCGTTAAACAACAAACCAGCCAACCAACCACTAACGCTGTATATATGAATGCAACGTTTTGTGCCGAGGATTTCCTATTTGTTACACATATGATAAAAAATATCCCACACGGAAAATGTTTCTTTTTGTTATCTTATTTCATAACACGGGTATGTCAGGGAGTGAGTACTTGTTTCATGAATACACGGTCATGTTTACTATCATGAATAGTTTGTTCGTGTATGTAAACTCAGGGGCAAAAGAAACGCTGGTTTTATAAACATTGACACAATTTTAATCCACACCTAAAACCATGGTCAGATACATTGTAAAAGCATTCTCCCAAACGTAACGGTCATTTCTTTGGCCTCTTATTGAATCTGCATCACGATTTTTCTGTGAAATGTGGGTTTTTCGGGGTTTTTTCGAGAAAATGCATAAGGAAAATTATGTGCAAGGATCGGGTATAAATCATGCCCAGAATCCTTCCTTAGCATTGAATGGTTGGATTTCACCAACAAGAATGTCACGTTTGACGTCTGAGCAGCGAGAGAGAGCGATAGGGATGTTGCAGATGGGGGCAACTCAGGCCAGAGTTGCACAAATCATGTGTTGCCACAAAACCACAATTGAGAGGATGATGAAACGTCTCAGAGATATTGGTCGGACATCAGACAGACCATGAAGTGGAAGACCACGGGTAACCATGGCCAACGAAGACCGCCATCTTCGTCTGCTGCACCTTCGTGACAGGTTCCTCACTGTGACGTCATCAGCACGAGATGCTATACAACACCCCGTCAGCAGGAGGACTGTAGCCCGACGTCTCCGCCATTTTGGTTTGAGAGCTTACCAACCCTTTAGGGGAATGACCTTGACCCGACAACATCGACTCAACAGATTGAGGTGGGCTCGCATTGTGCAACGCTGGCAAAAACAACATTGGGACAGAGTGCTGTTTTCGGATGAAAGCAGGTTCCAGCTTTACAGTGCTGACGGCCGAGTGCGAGTTTACCGGCGTAGAGGCGAACGAACGTCACGTTGCTGCGTCCAAGAAGTGCATCCTCGTGGCGGCGGAAGTGTGATGATTTGGGGCAGTATTTGTGGTGGCACTAAGACCGACCTGGTGGTTACAAATGGTACCCTCAACGCTGACCGCTACATTAACCAGGTCTTGACACCAGTCGTGCTTCCATTCCTGCAGAATAACCCAAGAACGCTGTACCAACAGGATAACGCCACTCCACACACTGCACGTGTTACCAGAGAGTATTTCAATGTCAACAACATACAAGTTCTTCCGTGTCCAGCCAGATCCCCTGACATGAATCCCATAGAACATCTCTGGGACCATCTTTGGAGACGGATTCGGCAACGTCAGCAACGTCCACATGACAGACAGACGTTGACGCAGGCACCGCAAGAACAGTGGCGTCACATCACTCCAGCCATTGTGAGGGGACGGGTAACGTCTGTACGACATCGTGTCAGGGACTGCATACTTGCTATAGGTAGACATACTCGCTATTGATGATGGAATGTGACTTTTAACTGATTTGTGTAATGGTAACATGAAATGGAATGTGAACGAATTATGGACAATCCAACACATGTTACAAGAATGCTCACTATTCCTTACAATGTCATCATGTGGTTGTTAAAGTCGGTCAACCTGATGTTAATTGTTGTGTCTGTGAAATACAATGATATCTGTTGACATACCTTGTCATATGTTTTTATTAGATGAGAAAATTAGAAGCCAGCGTTTCTTTTGCCCCTCAGTTTAGTAACTAACGAATTATACATGCCTCGATAGTGATCTTCCCATCTGGGATAACAGGGAGATACACCGAGTGGGGGGCGGTGCATGGATCCTCTGGGTAGAAGCTGCCTGCCGTCATCGTCATGGACACCTGTAGGATAAAGAGTTTCCTTCATACTTCCTTCATACAAGCTCCCAGTTGCATCTACTTTTTGTGTCGATAAAGCACATAATCCAAGCATCACTCTTTTCTTTGCAATGACAATGAACGATGTTATTATCTGAATAACAATACCTCGAAAAAAAAACCTCGCTCAAATTTCAGGCTTTCGTAACAACCATACAGTGTATTATCTATAGGACTCGTGAGAAGGTCACGGCACTTTGCGAAACGTTAGTACTTCCGATGACAAACAATGTTTCATACCTTTTCGAATTGTCTCGTGGTTGCCAGTTGACAATAAGAAACCGATAATCCTTTCAGGAATAACAAATTTCCGATCTAACATCCCCAAATTAGCTAACTATTACGACTGTCAACATCTGTGACAGCCAAGCATGGATGTAAACTTGGTCCGGTCTAGTAAAGTCATATTGGGCAGTCGCACAATTTGGAACCAGAACTAGTTCCTGAATACATGAATACGCTTGTCACCGGAAAGCTGGTAACGGAAGTAAGCTCGCATATCGCAAGCTGGCGCGTGCAAAGGGAACCGTGAAGCAGCTTAGTACCAGAGACTTGTCACGGTGCTGTTACAGAGACGCAGTATTGTATTTTATAGCCTTTGTATTGATCAGAAGTCTTTTCTGTTAGGCATCCCCCTTTAATATTCCAAATGTCTACGTAATTTCACAGTTGGAGGATGCCCCACATACTTCTTCGTTCGTAATGTCTTTAGCTGGCATTCTTCACGTCATAGATCACAATCCACGCAATGATCCAAATATATGTTTCTATGCATATATACATCCTTGGTAACGGGAGTTTATATACCGTCGTATGAGAAATATTCTTCAGCAATCTAGAATCTAGTGATGGTTAATGTTTATACAGAAATAGTAGTCTCAAATTATGTACCGTCGTATGAGCAATATTCTTCAGTAATCTTGTGATGGTTATTGTTAATACAGAAATAATTATATATTCCATATCTAAATCTACTTTTAACATCACGTACATTTTTTTCTTTCATACTTAGAAACAAGTTAACAAAGGCCCAGGTCTTATTGCTACAGTAACCAAGTGTTCCATGTTATAATCTTACATTGCCTGTGTATTTGACAGTGTAGTTTGTGATGTACCCATTCCTCATCTTCTCGGGGGGACATTCCCAGGTGAGTCGGACTGCCAAGTACTGACTGGGGACAAACTTCACGTGGATGTTCTGCACGGCACTAGGGGCTACACAAGTAAAACAAGTCTTTGTTAAGGTCATCGAGATGTGAAAATGTTCAATATTAAATATGTGACGCCAGCTCAAACTATCGTTAGCTATAGGTTACATTTGACTCGCAGAATATTGGAATATTATTTGTATAAAGATTGAATCTTAGATTCGTGCTCACGGGCATGGTACGTACCAAACTGTTTTATGAGCTTAATATTTTGATCATTTACAGATCATTTACATTTATTCTTTTATCTTTGACCAAATAAATTCTATAGTTTACTCATAGTTTATCAACTATACTAACTGCTTGGCAGCGTTGTGGCAGATTTGGATTTTCCATGGGTGAACTAAATATACTGATAATTTACAATAATCCTTTGTTCAATGACCAAATAGATTTTGTAGGGTTTTTTATTGCGTGTCAACGATACTAACTGCTTGGCAGCGTTGTGAAAGATTTGGATATTACCATGGGTGAACTGAACATATAGATAATGTATGATATCCTTTCATCTACCACCGAACAGATTCAATATTTTTCTCTACGATACCAAACATATTGCCATGGGTGAGCTAAATATAGTGATGATTTACAATATCCTTGTATCTATGTGTGACCAAATAAGTTCTGTATTTAACTTATAGTTTCTCCACGATACTAACTGCTTGGCAGCGTTGTGACAGGTTTGGATTTGCCAGTTTTGAGTTTCCAGCGATGGTACCAGCTGTCATGGTGACCATGTACCTCCAGGAGCTCAACAACCCTGTCACTGGGAGTTCATTGCTTGTCCAACCTGCATCACACAATATAGAATGAACATGGAGGAACAATCAATATAACAGAATGATTTCAAATGCCCCACGTGTCACAGAAACAAGCTAAGAAACGTACACCTTAAAACATAATTTGAATACTGATCTGGTGTTTGTTATGAGTACTAGTAATTCCAGACGCCAAATAGATACTGTCGTTTCCCGAATGTATACATTCATTTAGTATTTACATTTAATGGGAATATGTTCATAGGCCTGTTTAAAATGGTGTTGTTATCAGTTCATACGTGTAGGCATTCTAAATTTAGCGGGGCGATGTGGTACGTAGACACGTGGTTAAAGCGTTCGCTCGTCACGCCAAAGACCTGGGTTCGATTCCCCACATGGGTGAAGCCCATTTCCAGTGTCTCTAACCCCAAATGACATACAGGGCGGGGTCACTTACTTTGTACATAAAATATCAACGATTCCTTAATTACACAAATTCTGTGGAAACTGTAAAATGGCTCTAACCTTCAACTAAATATTCACGATAGGCAATGAAGGTACTGGACGTCTTGTTCATGGCCTGAAGAACTGTAACTTTGTACGCCGTAGGTCCAGCATTGTGTGAAGGAATATCCCATTTAACAAAGATGGCTGACTGATTCACAGCAGTAAACCGAATGTTGGTTGGTGGTGCTGGAACTGAAGACAACACACAATGTGAGACAGTGAGACATTACTTTGATAAATAATAATAATAATAATATTATGCATGTTTATAATGAGCACATATCAACGCCCGTAAACATCGTCATGGCGCTAACACATTATTACCCCGAATAACCCAAGCTGCCTGTTAGGCGTTAAATGACTTATCCCACACGGGTACCCATTTTCTGCTGGATGAACAGAGGCAATTTTGAACAAACTCACTTGCTAAAGGTGATAGCACATGTATCACATGTGCTTGTTGTGGAGCAGGACTGAAGTCCTAGAAACTCTCTGGAGTCAAGCTGCAAAACACGATCACCCATCCAACGACTCTCCGCGCCCTACGCTGTTTAACTTCAACTGATTTGTGACCTGAGCTCTATGCAGAGGACTACACATCACAACTACATTGCAAGTGACCCCCTGGCATCAAACAACACTACTTGCGTTTACATTTCCGAATGATGGTTCCTGGTGATAGATCGGTGAAGGAGGAGAGGAAAATGATGAAAATACTGGTGAAATTCTTCATAAGATTGGACTACTACACATGGGTGCACCGCTTTTTATGTTAAGGGCAAAATATATTAAAGTCATTCTAAACTAGAAGAGGATCTGGAGACTTCAGCAACCTATGCTGAAGAGGCGACTAACGGGATCGGGTGGTCAGGCTCGCTGACTCATTTCATCCCAACTGCGTAGATCGACGAAGCATTGTTGTTGATCACTGTCTGGTCTGTCCGAAATGATGGGAACAGATTTTCTTAGAAACCGTTATAGACAGGGAAACCAAATTTGGTATGTGTGTTTAGGACATGAATGCCTTCATGTAGTTCAAAAACAGGAACCAAATAAACTAGTTAAAGCCTTTGTCATGCATGTTTCTTGTCTTAGTGCATGGCATCGGCAATGAGGCAGATTTTCTCAGAAACCGTTATAGATGGGGAAACCAAATGAGGTATGTGTTTGCAGGACATGAATGTCGTGGTGAAGTTAAAAACAGGAACCAGATAGGAACAGAACACTGTGGCGGGGGATATTGATGACCATGTCTTCTTGTTTACAGCTTGAATTGCTGAGTTACACAACATCAATCAATCACATTTAAATGTCACTTCTTTCCATACCCGTTGTACAAAAATACTAAAAAAGACTGACTGACTGACTGAGTTTAGTTTTACGCCGCTTTTAGCAATATTCCAGCAATATCACGGCGGGGGACACCAGAAATGGTACTAAAAAAGACGTATACAGTACTTAAATCTTAGAACAGACATACCTTTGAACCTTTATGATATAGACTCTACATATTCAGATTGAATAGTTATTGTATAAAACTGAGTCTATATTGCCACATGTACAGTATACCCTGGTTATAATGCCACCGTTTGTCCAGGAGAAAATATGGCATTATATCCAGGGTGGCATTACAACCAGGTAGGGCAGTTAGAGGCCCTATGCAAGCTACAAGGTGATTGAGCTGTACCTCCAATATCTGTCTTCGCGGGTGAGTGTGACATTTTCCCCTATAGTGGCTTGATCAGCAGCGGCGATAGCGATAACGTAGTCTGTGTACGACGTCAGTGACTTGACGCTGTGAGACATGTTTCCATGACACTCATCATATGAAGCTACTGCACCCGCCATTATGTAGGAGCATTGAAACTGAAGGTGAGAAAACATGTCAACGATCGATATTTCACCAGTGTACAGTATTCTTCAGCTGAAAAAAATCTCTTTTGAGAGATGAGTGAGTTACTGAGTTTAGTTTTACGCCGCACTCAGCAATATTCAAGCTATATGGCGGCGGTCTGTAAATAATCGAGTCTGGTCCAGACAATTCAGTGATCAACAGCATGAGCATCGATCGGCGCAATTTGGAACTGATGACATGTGTCAACCAAGTCAGCGAGCCTGACCACCCGATCCCGTTAGTCGCCTCTTACGACAAGCATGATTTACTGAAGATCAATATTCTAACCCGGACCTTCACGGGTGAACTTTCACGGGTTTTGTGAGATGAAAAGCAAATATGGAAAAAGCGTTGAACTAATAAAATACGGATTGTATATGCATAGTTCTTAGGAACTATAAGCATTTTACACGTTGTACTAACATGGAGAATGGAACCTTTGTCCCTAGTATTATATATACACTACCAACCCGCAATACTGGAATGCACGTTCAAGTACATTTTCAAAATATCTAACTTTTAAGGCTGGTTGGTTGTTGTTTAACACCGCACTCAGCAGTATTGCTGCCATGTGGCCGCGGCCTGTAAATAATCGAGCCTGGGCAAGACAACCCAGTGATCAACAGCATGAGCATCGATCTACGCAATTGGGATACGACGACGTGTCAAACAAGTCACCCGATCCCGTTAGTCGCCCTTCACGACAAGCATTTGCGATTTGCTAATCAATAAACGAAAAATCTACAAGCTTATCTTGACAAGAGAAATATGCTCCAGAGAGTGAAACCCTGGATAAAGCTAGAGTGAATAAACTTACGTTTACATAAATTGTTTGATTTGGAGAGCACTTGATAAAGTTGGCTTGTGTACACTTGCCCCCCGTCATTATAAAGACGACGTAGTTTGTGAAGGGGATGTTACTTGATGATACCGTCCACGATAGACCAATGGTCGACGATGTCACGGACGTCGTCTTCGCATCGTTGACTTTACCTGGAAGTGGGTGACTTCCTAACACCTGGAAATCAATTTCAGTTTTTGAGTGAGGGGATAGTGTTTTACGACACTTTAAGCAATATCACAGCGGGAGACTCCAGAAATGGGCTTTACACATTGTACCGATATTGGGAATAGAACCCGGGTCTTCGGTCTGATGAGCAAACGCTTTAACCACTAGGCTACCCCACTGCCTTATTTTCATTATATCGGCATATAAGGGCATTAGATGTCATCATGTACAGATAGGACTGGAACATTGTAGGCCAGATACTAACGTTTCACTCTTTATAATATTTTGTAGCCACCATATAGCTGGAATATTGCTGAGTGCGGCGTAAAACTTAACTCACTCACTCACTAAATACTATTTTGTAGGCATGAGGTACTTGATTGAAAACTGAATTAACATCCCTTTGAATTATATACTGCCATTTTTTACATTGATGTATGCCACATGATGTGGCGTTTAATTATAATTTCAACCTCACAGAATATTGATTCTTGATTATCTACCGAAACAGGCTCCATTCAGCGCCTAACGCCAAACTGCTGTGAAAATGATATAAATGGAAAATCTGTTGTGGCACAAGGCGTTTATGGAAAGGATAGCATGGCCTACCCTACCGTTACTACCTGCTCCTCTCACAATTTGCATGAAACAACAAACATATAATACACTCTTCGAAAAAGAAACGCATAGACCATTTTTAGACGAATTTTAATGTGTTAGTTTAACAGTAATTATTTCATGTAATTTCAATTGCAAAAATGTAAAAATTCACAGCTTCAAAGCGGCCTATGGCGATGTTTCCATTGGCGGCACTCAGTCATGGCCAATCCTCTTTTCCAGGCAAAAACGAATGACAAAATTAAACACAACGTTTGCTTTTTTATAGTGATCGACACCGCATGCTTTTCCGCTTACTTGCACGTGCATTTTGCTTTGTATGTTTTCTCGGTGACGTTTTGGCAAATATTTCTTCAAACGCTTCTAAAACAAGGATAAAGACTTTAAATTGCGGCGTTTTGGCAATCACTCAAAGATGACGTTTTGGAAAGAAATAGTACACTTGTATCGTTTTGGCCGCAGCTACATGAGTCCATTATTGAAGAATGTAAAACTCACGATATGTTTGTCTCTCATTCACTTTGAACCTCAAAGGGTGTGAAGCCCATTTCTGGTGTCCCCCGCCGTAATCGATGTAGCTGAAATACTGCTCAAAGTGGTTTAAAACCCAACTCACTTGAACCTCAAAGTCAGAAAATGAATTTACATAGACCACATCTGCACACTTACATTTTGAACAAGTCAGTTGTCATCGTGCAAAGAGTAATAACACTTTCTCAGGGTCACTCAGCTTATTTCGGTATATCCTCAGTACCATGGATAACACCATTCTGCACCAGTCGTCCCTCCGTAACCTGCACGGCGGTATTCGTCTTCTACCGGAATAACACTTGTTGGTAACGAAGGGTGTAATAATACTGGTGATATTTTGCCTGTTTTTTCGTTAAAATCGTGCAAACCCATATCACACTGACAAAATCTTCGAATAACATGATTGCCTTTTGGGAAGACAGATTTTCATGTCCTCAACAGATATCATGCTTACCCTCAAATTTGGAGATGATATAGCAAGTGGAATCAAATTGGAACAGAGTGAGTTTAGTTTTACGCCGCACTCAGCAATATTCCAGCTATATGGCGGCAGTTTGTAAATAATCAGAAAATCCAGTTGGTCAACAGCATGAGAATCGATCTACGCAATTGGGAACCGATGACACGTGTCAGCCAAGACAGCGAGCCTGACTGACCACCCGATACCGTTAGTCGCCTCTTACGATAAGCATGGGTTACTGAATGTTCATTCTACTGGATTGTGTGACCCAGACTCGATTATTTATATACATCTGGAGTATTACTAAGTGTGGCTTTTAACAATAAACAAACTGAAGCGCTTGATCGTGATACTGTTGGAATCGTACAATCGGTTCTGCTTGTACCAGACATTGCTCATGGGGTGGGTTCTGTCGCATTTAAACAGACAAGGATGATCCTCCTATGCGTATCCTTTCTGCTGAAAGACTCAACGACTCATACTTTGCTTGACAGTGTGGACTTTGCAACTGCACGGGATTCACATTATGAAACAGTAAACCTGAAAGACCTGTTTTCCTGAGCTGTTATCTCAGAATAAGCTAATTTAAGGAAATTGACCTGTACCAATAACTATAAATATCACATATGTATTATTAATTGCTCGTTTTTAAATTTAGGCTTTTAGTCCGTGTTATAGATTGTAAATATACCATTCAAAAAAAGTAGGTGATATTGGATTTACAAGATTTATAAAATGCAAATGATGAATCCAATGAGGAAACAAATAATGAAGAGAAATTAAGGGAAAATGTGACACTTTATTCCATTTCTTTGGAAATGCTTCTTCTGTATGGATATATATTACTTTTTCTCATATACATTGGAATTGGTTAGTGGTATGCTCGCAAAATGGAATATCCCCTACTTTTTGTAATGGTATAGTATTGTCAGAGCCCATTTATTAAAATTGTGAATGATATTGTGACAGCCCGAGTTCTAAATTGTAAATTGTGCACATGAAAACTTGAGTTTGTTTGAGTGAGTTTGTGTTAGTAATGGGTTTGTGTCTATGTGTAAAATGTGGTCTCGTCGCTACATCGCTGAAATAGTATGTTAGCTGCATTACAGTGTAACTCGGTTACTGATTAGTTTTCTCCAATAAGTAAACTGAGATGATTTTATGAGCGCTTTATTCTAGTTTCCACGTGAGGACGGGTCTGAAGCTGCCATCAGCAATATTCAAGCAACACACCATAAAATTCCCGTTCACATTGTAACTTCGTTGTGAATCCATGTGAAGAGCGAACGTCTTACCCTCTAAGCTAACTGTGGTGCCTTACCTCTGTATCGTTCGGGAAATGTCAAGCTACATGGAAGGACATACAAACAAGCATGCTGGTCTGTACACATGGGTTGGTGGTAATACACGTATTTACTAAAGCTGAAGAGGGCAAAAGAAACATAATCGTAAACAGTTCTATCTACTCACCTGAGGTGCAAACGCGAAACTAAACATGGCCAGAATTAAGCCTAGTCTCGAATAGGTGGCCATTTTGAATGAATGATGGGAGTATTACAAGGCCCTGTTTACGTGACGTCAAGGCGCGTTGTATTTTCATATGCACAACGCCTTTGACTATGACCGGTGCACTGTTGCACATAACCCAGTCAAATGTAGGCCACGTTATCAGCTCGTGACACTGTTGCTACGCTACCGTCGAGCCTTATCGATACCAGTGTCATGTGGTGTGGGGTATGTAAATAGGGAAAAAAATGCTAATTAATTATGTTTTGACAAGAAGCAGATTAGGAAAGTGTAAAATCTATTGATTTATTTTCCTAAAATGGAAATGTAAAGTAACTTTAACTTCGTGTACCATTTCGTATGAAATATATTATCAATTATTGTTATCTTCTTTAAATTATGGTAAAATGTATAAATGAACCTTTTGAAACATTTTATTTTTATAATGCATATATAAAAATTGCAGCCAACCTGTTGTAAACGTGTAATTTTCGAATGCATGGTTATTTTTAGCTGAAATGTGAAACTTAGCTCAAATTTTGTTTGAGCAAGGTGACAACAATGTCAGTAAGTCCGTAAGATATCTTCATTCTATTCTGATCAAGTAAAGACGCCATGTCATCAAATGTACTGTAGTGATTTACATATCCAACTTGTTAGATAAATAGTATGGACATATTAGACACCAAAACCAATTTCTTTTTGTCCAGTTCAAATCAATTGTAATGACAAGCGAGAAGCATTTAGAGAGATTTACGATTGTGACTCACTTCGTAAACAAAACTTCGATTGCGAATGTCAACAACATGTATGTTAATCAAATGGAAATGTAATGCATTGCGTAACTGAGTATGGACTTGTTTGTTTGAGTTTCAAGGCTGAAGAGGCTTGTACCCAGTGGGAGTCTGTTTCTTGACGGAAGGTCTCACAAGTCAGGAAAATGTTGGCCATAGGGAAATTAAGCATTTCGCATGTCAAATTTCATGCATTTCTAATCACAGCCTCGGTCGTGGTGTAAATTGATTTACAAGCAAGCTTATCAAGGCACAGCACCTGATTCACCTGTGGGTATTTAGCATGTCGTAAAATCGGGTGTCACTTGTGTCGGTTAAATTTGAGATATACTGAAAGAAACAAATAAAGGAAAATAGGAAAATTCATGTGTTCCTTCAATATTTTCCACTTTTCATAACCAGCTCTGAATAGCGACGTGGGGGGAAATCTGAGAATAAATAAAGGAACACTGCCATGAAGTGGTGTTCCTTATTTATTTCCCTCAGTGTTTATACTCGAATATTTCAATAAAACGATAGCAGTAATATTTTTATTTTCAAAATGTGTTGGTTCGAGAGGGTGAAGGATGGATCCGCACTGTCAATCAACTGAGGACTTAATAAGTACCAATGCAGTATCGTTCAAAGATAACTTTATTGTGACGTTGTTTCTTGTACAATGAACTAGATATACGTTCCACTTTGTTCTAAACACGTCCATGGTGACGATCAGCCCACCAAATACTGTTGGCCTTCAGATGTGAAACCTCTAGATCTTGCTGAAAGTGGTAAAATGACCTTTTATGTTATTTGTTTCAAGTGAAAGAATTTGGACAAGATTTTATATTTGCTACATTGTGTCTCCTTCAAAGTTACACAAATTTCATTACAATTGTAATGGTATCTATAAAATCTTAGCCTCGCCTCAGTTAATATAGCCGTCATTATGATGCATTGAGAAATGCATGTGCCAAAGGAAGGAAGCACGTTTATGCCAATGCATTCATCCCAACATACCGGAACAGTCTAGTTCAAGAGAATACCCCTTCATTTTATTGGACACAAAACCGCGGACTTGTACAGGACTTTTAATATGTTCTAATTTAATTGTAAGAAATAAATGTAGAGAAAGTAGAGAGTCGTCCTGAATTATAATAAAACAATGCATTGCCACAAGAAGGAAGTCGTCAATTTGCGACGCACCCACATACTCCACCCACACATATACCCATCCCACACCTCCGTTTCACATGCCTTCCATGTCAACTCTTTATCGCGAATCATGCTGTATGTGTATCGTTACCCAACCGCGTGATCAATTATCCTTAGAGTTATTTACAATGAGCGAGTATAGTTTTATGCCGCTTTTCAGAAATATCGCGAGAGGGGGACGGGATAGAAGGGAACTAAAAATAGGCTTTACATTAAACCCATGTAAGGAGTCGAACCTGTGTCTTTGGCGTGACGAACCCTTTAACTACAAGGCTACCCACTTCCCTAAAGACAGCTCAAACTTCAAAGATCAATAAGGCCAGGTGAATTACTCAGTAGTATTAATTACTTCCATAGACCCAGATTAACTATTTCACGTAGACGGTCACATGGTCACGTACGACCAGGTGTCTACTCACTCATGATCAAAGGGTAAAAGATAAGCTCACAGGATCATACAATATGCAAAGTCTTTCAGGCCAGTATTGATTTGCTACATGACAAAGTACTCACTTAGATATAGAGCAATGATAGCGACAAAGAGGATGGCTATTACGGAGCCACATGTGGCGGATGCAATGACAAGGTTGTGGGAATCTGAAATGTAGAAAATGAGGTTAAGTTATTGCCTGTGGAAATATGTGAATTCATTATTATGTTGTGTTTGAAGCGGGAATTTTGGAAACATCGAGAAAATAGCATGTGTCGTGTTTACATTTGAACTTCAGGATACCATATCGGGTTAGAGTGAGTGAGTGAATTTAGTTTTACGCCGCCTTCAGCAGTACTCCAGCAATATAACGGACACAAGAAATGGGCTTCACACATTGTACCCATGTGGGGAATCGAACCCGGGGCTTCAGCGTGACGAGTGGACGTTTTAACCACTAGGCTATATCACCGCCCCCAATATTTGGTTACAATTAAAGTTTCCAATAACCTATGCTCCTAGCAAGATCTGATTAGTTGAAATGGACTTATTGTTGAGCTTGCTTGTGATATCAGTCTCTGTTTTCGTTTGTTTGTTTTTTCGTTAACAAAACTTGATTGTTTACCGGTCGCTTTTATACAGTTTGAATAAACATAAATTACTTTCACATTCCATAACGGTGTTAGTATATATACACGAATACATCACTACAGTTTACCTGATGTCGACGCTGTAGTGTTGGTAAACGGTGGTAAATTGAAGGACATTTCTGAAAAAGCATGTTTTCATCACTCAATTCGCTCATTAATATCATCAACGTCATTTGAAATATAATATCACTCCCGTGGAATATAAGCATTCAATTGCCAATTCAACGTTATGATAAATGGTATCAAACATGGATTGAGAAAAAATTAAAACTACCAGGTATATATACTGCTCACAAAAAGTAGGGGATATTGAACTTAAACAGAGCGACAAAAACACAGGAATGTAGATTTCTCCGAGTACGTTCGGTATGTTTGAGGATAACCATTGGCTAGCATGTTGTACATTGACCGCCTGGTGTCCTGAGATCCGAAAACATTGGACCCAAACGCACCGTGGGTGGGTATGAAACATCACACCATGTTTCACACGTGCAAATGATGAGTCAAGGTTCACCTTGGACTTCAATGACGGCCGTCATCGTGTCTGGCGACGCCCTGGTGAACGCCACCAGCCAGCTGCCTTGATTCCATATGATCGATATGGAAGGGGGTCTGTTATGGCGTGGGGTGGGATCACGATGACGGGCAGGACCGACCTCCACATCTGCCAAGGGAGAGTCACTGGTGTCGACTACCGTGACCATATCATCACGCCACACGTACTGCCGTTTTCACGCCGCCACGGACAAGGATTCATTTTCCAGGATGATAACGCCAGGGTTCACCCCCATGACAGGACTTGGCAGAACTGGGCGTTGCACTCCAAGAGGAATGGCAGTGGATTCCTAAAGTTGACATTGGTCACCTCATTAGGATTATTAGACGTCGGTGTCATGCTTGTTTGGCAGCTAATGATGGTCCAACCCGTACTTAACCAGTTTGTGACTTTTGGGTTATCACCACTGGTGAACTTCGCATTGTCTACAAAGAACATCTGCATCGTTATCAAAGTTAATTTGTTGAAAACGGTTGCTAGACATCCTTATTTCCACATGAATATTGTTTCCCAATGACAAGTAAACATACGTTTGCTTTTATTTTATCTTTTCAATATCCCCTACTGTTTGTGAGCAGTAGATTACAATCTATTCACTGTTGTAACGATGTAAACTCACTATCGCGGTCTGCTACAAATATCATTGCTGATTTGTTTCCTTGAAATTCGGCGTTGGCCCAGATCTGTGAAAAACAGGAAATACAGCCATTGAGAACAGCATACATATGGCCAGGGTCATTTTCTTTTGTGTGTGTTTTTTGTATTAACAAATACAATTTCTGATCTATTTCTCAAGTTCGTTCAAAGCAGCATTTCATTTAGTTAGTTTTAGATACCTTGCTTCCATCCTAATACTTTTTTAATTATCTTGAAACGTTCGACCTTTGCGCCACAGTTTTACTTATCTTTATTGCTCTATTGCTCTATTGCTGTCGCTTCACTTAGCCAATTGGCATAAGCCATACGGTTGATGATGGATTCATGAGTGTGTACCATATGAGGAATTCATACTACTGACATATGAAGCTGGGATAAGATATGACGACAAGATAACACGAGGCATTTGATACTTTTTTTAATGTTCTCAACATTGCATTGATCAAAAAGTATGCAATTTTCATTGTAATTTATTTGATCTTAAAATATTATAAACAGCTAATCTTGAAACTGCATATTTATGGCATATCCAAATGAAATCAATGTTCTCAAATTTCTCTCAATAAAAACTGAACGAAAGCAACATATTATGTTACTGAAGATAGTTTGAAGTGCCTTGCTTCTGTCTTGTCTTTGTTTAATCCTGCCTTAGAGTTACATTTACTTTCTTTATTGATATATTTCGTGGATATCGTTTCATACATATAATGGTCTGTCTCAACAATTATTAACATGGATTCGTTATGTTCCACACCGAGGACATACATTTTATGAACCAGAATGAGATACGACCAGTGTTCTTGTTGTAACATAACATGCAAATTTAATCCCTCACTAATAACTTAACACAACGAAATAACTTGCGCCATACAAACCTGAACAACATACTTCCCATCTGGGATGACAGGGAGATACACAGTGTGGGGGGAGGTGCAAGGATCCTCTGGGTAGAAGCTGCCTGCCGTCAACGTCATGGATATCTGCAGTGTCAAGACATATGTCAGTATCTAAATTTAAACAATCCTTTTGTGGGGAACTACTGTAACTACCATTTCAGGAATGTACCCAGCTCAATGAATCGAGAAACGATTCCAGGAGGGTTTTGTCAATGTGCTAAAGGCCATGTGCACGGTAAATACCAAACAAATTTTAGTTGATATACGAGTGAGTGAATGAGTGAGTATGGTTTTACGCCGCGTTTAGCAATATTCCAGCAATATCACGGCGGGGGGACACCAGAGATGGAGTTGACATACGAACATGGACATAGAATGATTTATTTTGTAGCACTTATACTGCCGAAGACGAAGTTTTCTATAAAACGTGGTTTATGCCAAAAGACGAAGCATGCATGACATTTGGCTCAATCGTTAAAATAGTGTTTGTTCACAAAGAAAGGTTCGATTTGCGTCAGACCTTATGTAAGGTTTATATGTTGTTTAGCTCTTTACAATAATCAGCTTATATAGATTTTCTGTGAAAATTTAAAACGAAAGTAGGCACTGATATCTTTAACAATTCTGTGTTAATACAATATCAAGAAAATACGTCATAAGAATGTCAAATTGAAATAAAGCTTATGTTAATTATAAAACACAAATGAATTCTAGTGTATGTTTATGACGACTAGTAGTACTAATTAATCATTAAAGACTGAACATTCAGTTGATGTCAATAGACGCTAATTGTCCCATGATAAAATGTCCTACATTGCCTGAGTAGGAGACTGTGTAGCTTGTGATGCGCCCATTCCTCATCTTCTCGAGTGGACATTCCCAAGTGAGTCTGACGGCTAGGTATTGACTGTGGTCATATTTTACACGGATATTCTGCACTTCACCGGGAGCTGCAAGTGAGAAGCCATAACACATATTTATTAGTCCACACCCAAACATCGTATTTTTATGTGGCTTGAACACACAATAATGTAATACAACTCGGTGTCAACTGCTTTGGATTAATAAGTTGAGCCTTGAAGATCCAGGCTATTTGATGTTCAGTAACCCATGCCTGTCGTAAGCGGCGACTTACGGGATCGGGTGGTCAGGCTTGCTGACTTGGTTTGCACATGTCATCGTATCCCAGTTGCGTAGATCGATGCTCATGCCGTTGGCCCTTTGAATTTCTGACCCAGACTCGATTATTTGCATACATCTTGAGTATTGCTCAGTGTGGCTTTAAACAACAAAACATAGGTGCTTGCTCGCGATACTGTTAGAATTGCACAATCGGTTCAACTTGTACTATGCTTATGGATGGGGTCAGTAGCTTTTAAACAGATGAGGATGAACCGCCTATGTGTATCCCAAGGCTCACCGCCAGCATATTTTGGACTTTGTAGCCGTTTATAACCTGTTGTACGTCTAAAGCAGAATATTTGCAAGCATAGAGATAAAGAAGCATGTTATTAGTCATGCGAACCAATTCCAATTAAGGAAATCACTGTCTGTGCTACTCAGACTGGAACTGATAAGGTGCCCCTATTAGTGATAGGGAAATCATTAAATAAACAAATGCTTAGGCGGAGGAATTAGGACTGGATCATCTTTTTTTCTACATTCATAGACATACCTATGTCTCGAATACATCGATAAGTCGAAATCATTACTTGGTCCCCAGAGATTCGACTCATCGGGATTTGACTGTATTTACATATGGTTCTGGTGTCATGCACAGGCAAACTGTGGCGCAAATAGGGCTGCGCAACAAGGAGAAAATGACCAGCTTTCCTATATGCGAGCGCAGCTTAGCTCGCATTTAGGAAAACTGGTCATTTTCTCTTAGCTCGCACATAGGAAAACTGGTCATTTTGCCTGGTTATTTTCAATCTTTAGGTAACGTACATACCAGAGGGCAGCGTTCTGACAGGTTTTGATATTGCCTCATTTGAGGTTCCAGCCTTGGTGCTGGCTGTAATGATGAATATGTACCTCCAGGAACTCAACAAATCCGTCACCTCCAGGGAACTGCTATTCTGACCTGCATCACAAAATGACATAAGTCAACTCCGTCGACCAATAGAGTTTTAACTTGTTCCATGACATAAGTACTCACAACAAAATATAGATATTTCTGTGAGTACACACCGTTTCTGATATACGGATCACTGCCTGATACTGAAAGTGTTGTACTGACAAACGTAGGAAAAGTTTGGAAACAGATAACGCCGTATTGATAGAAAACATATACCCCATGACTCGCCAGATGAAAGAACGCATAATCAGCGACTTGAACAATTCATGCTACAAGTTAAGATTAGAGACTTCAATGATAATTTCATGGATAATTGGCAGTCCAAACATATGCAAGTCACGCACACATTGCGTTGTTGTTTATTTTATAGTATACTGATTTTGTTGATACGGTAATTTAACTTGAGATTACCCAAAATAAACTAACATAATGTCTCAGTGTTTCACATGGTATAAATTATACTTAACACTTTAGAGACCAGATAGTACCGGCTGTTCCCTCCTTTCAACGCCGTCATTACGAACATTAGTTGGGGGAAAAGATATATCTGGATATAACCATACGTTCGAACCAGGACCAAATGCTCCTGTAGCAAATGCAGTTACCAACAGTTTGCAGTTAGTATTCTAGTGATACATTCCAATGCGCGATCCGTCCCTCAAACAAAAGAAAGGTTTTGTGTACATTTACAGACTTCAAGACAGCTAAAGTCGCATGTATCCAAAACAGTATAAATTGGTCAAATGGTAAAAATACCAGCTCTAACCTTCAACGTAGTAATAACCATCCCACATGAAGTTCCCAGGCATCCTGTCTATTTCTCTTAGAACCGTGACATTGTACCACATTGGCCCAGCATTGTGGGAAGGAACGTCCCATTCAACCAAAATGGCGGACTGGTTCTGGACAGTTCCACGGATGTTTGTTGGCTCTGCTGGAACTGTTTGGTAATATTTAATTTTACAGTGAGATGACAACAAGACACATCAATCAGAAAATGCCAGCAATATCTAGACGCATATGATTATTCAAGGAGTCATTCATTTTCAGTTTTGGTTTGTAGTCAGTCACATACTACGAAGTCTTATGATAAGATAAGATATAAACACTTTATTATCCCGAGGGAAATTTTGGTTACAAAACATGGAATCACAACTTACCATATTTCAACAAGCACTACAATATTAAACAAATAAATAGATAAGAACACTAAAAGAGTGAAAATAGGTAAGAGCACTAAAATAGTGAACAAGTAATATATGACTTAATGTAATGATGAGATAAAACGATAGCAGTGGTGAAAATGGTTTACATGAAGGTAAGATGATAAATGAATGAATATGAAGATGAACTGTTGTTACAAACATGAATACCGGCTGCTGCAAAAGAATGGCAGAACATGTTTGTTCTAGCTATTGGCATGCGCACTTTCATCGACGTCCTGATGAAAGAATTCAAAATCGTACAACAGAAATGATAGCTGTCATGTACAATTTTTCATACTTTGTTTTGTCAGTTTGCTGCTTCTAAAGCAGGCCGAGAGATGTTATTTTGCATGCTGTGTTAACAATTTTGTTGAATTTAGTTGTTTTGAACAGACAGGTTACCAAACCAAAAAAGTAGGTTAAAAATTCAAAATGCTTTGTGTAAATGTTTTGTAAAACAGTACCATAAGACAACAATCAATTCTAAAATTGTTTAAACGACGTAAGAAATACAATCTCTGCTAACCTTTTTTGTATAAGTAATAATTAGCGTTGAGTATAGCGCTAATTCAGCAATACTGTGGTTGGAAATGCTTACAGATTCTCTTACTGTTTCGAGAATGAACATAATCTTGTCGTGAGTGAATTCACATAGTTCCGAACCTTGGCGAAAAAATGATTCATATGACATTATGTTACCTCTTCTTAACAACTGAAACGATCTGTCCAAGCGTCATGAAGCGAACGCCATAATGCTCCGTAAGTATTAGTGAACATAATTTGATTACTATCCGCGACCCCAGTGGTAATATTGACATAATCTACATGTTATACCCAACAGCTGTCTTAACATCGGCCAACTGCCTTGATTGGTCGGTTTATTGTTTAACGCTGCATTTAGCAATATTCCAGTTTTTTGGGCGGCGGTCCATATAAACAATCCAGTGATTAACAGCATGAGCATCGATCTACGCAATTGGAATACGATGACGTGTGTCAACCAAGTCAGCGAGCCTGACCAACCGATCTCGTTAGTCGCCTCGTACGACAAGCGCGCCATAGGTTGAAGAACAATTCTAACCCACACAGGTCCAACTGCCTTGCATATAGCATGACAGTATCTAATTAATATATCAGTCAATTTGAAGCTAGTTATAGGAACTATTAAAAAGTTTTGAATGTTATTAAGCTGGAGTGTTATTTAGGAATTGTGGTAAAAAACGTCAAGTGTTTCATGAAGGCCATAAGTGACACCTTTTATAAACAAAAATATCCATCGTCATCATTTGCTTGATAACGGTGTTAGGATCTACACCGGCCTATATCAGGGACCAGAAACGGTTGGTGCCGTTGTTTAAACGTCGCGTGGACTTTGAATATACACAACCTATTGACAAATAAAGAAGTTTTCTATACACAAAAACTGTACAGAATCACCAACGTATATAGTCTGCAATACGTACTTCCAATAGCTGTCTTATCTCTGATTGTAGACTTTTCCCCTACTGTGAAATTGTCGGCAGCAGCGACAGTGACAACATAGTCTGTGTTGGAATCTAGGCCGGTCACGTCTAACGTCATGTTACCATGGCACTCATCATATGTTGCAGGCGGACCTGCCGTGATGGTATGGCACTGGGCCTGGAAACAACAAATTGAGGGTAAAACTTAAATATGCAAGTATTACATATTTGGAATAGAACATTAAATTTGGATTGAGGGTGGATGGCTTCAAGACATAATATTTTGACCTCTGGTAAGACTAGTAGAGTGCACTATAATGCGCAGTAGTTATCATGTTCCTGGTTATGCCACCCTGAATATAATGCCATGTTTTTGCCAGAACGGATTTCCTGCCTATATAATACCTGGTTATAATGCCAAACTGGATATAATGCCATTTGCCAATGGTTTTTGGAACAAAAAGTCATTTCCCCTCGTTATAATGCCAATTGCACTGGCTGCATGTAGTATACATACATTAATTGGTTAATTGAAATGACTCAAATAATTGACCAAACTTATTAATGCTTTATGTAATGTAATCTCAGATGGGACAACACATGTGACAATACACTCCTGCCACCTACAACAACAAGTCACCAGCAGCCCCTAGACGCTGGGATTATCCAGTCATTCAAGGCTCATCACAGGAGACATCAGCCCAATCACCTTGTTCATTGCATAGGGCCTCTAACTGTCCTACCTGGTTATAATGCCACCCAATATTATGCCATATTTTCTCCTGGACAAACGGTGGCATTATAACCAGGGTACACTGTACATCCTTTATTTTATTTCCCTCAAATCCTAGCAGAACTTGAACGCTTTAACCATTAGGCTACCCTACCGCTCCTGTTCTGAAAAGGGTATTGTGACTACATGTGTGAGAAAATGTGTGAGAACAGTCTTCACATACATTTGCATATATCGCATCGTTGGGTGGACAAACGATGTAGACTGCTAGTTCACAATCGTCTCCCCTGCTTGTCAAGATGACGTACTGGTTGAAGGGAACATCGCTTGACGAGGCCGTCCACGACAGTCCAATAGACGCAGATGTCGTCACTGTTGTCGTCAAGTCGTTGACTCTACCTGGGACTAAAAATACGCCAGGTGCATTACTTCAAAGCAGATCATGAGATGAGTTTTGCATCCAATTTCGAGCGCGATAATCGAACACCAGGACCTAGATTTTTAGCGCTAAGATAATCGTAAAGTGCCATACATTAACATAAACTTACGACTATCTTAACGCAAAGAGAGCTTCGAAAATCTAGGCCCAGGATGATAACATTATCATAAGAACAGATGCGACAAAACCCTTTCCACATCCGTAAGAAATCTATGCTAAAAGCGGAATCGACTGTACAATTCTGACTACATCATTTATTAAGTGATAATTGTTTCAGCAGTACTACAACTGTACGATGTGGTTTGTAAACAATCGAGTTTCGACCACACAATCCAGTGATTGTCACTATGGGATACGAAGACAGAGCAGGTGTTTATGAATCACTATGAAATAGTGAGCGTATCCTGCCCCACCCGCCATAATAACTTACGATTGCTAGATTAAATTATAAGAGTGTATAGGATGAACAGTTCCCACAAGCAATCAATAAATGACAAAAATGAAACATACAACTTTATAGATGACAACTTCTTGTTTACTGCGTAGAGCGACGTTTCAATGTTATCAATCATATACATTTAGCTTGACAACGATATAAGTATCCACACTGAAACGTTGCTCTATGTAATCAACAAGAAGTTGTCACCGATAAAGTTGTATGTTTCATTTTTGACTCACCAACTCCTAGAATGCCGATCAAACAAATAAATGACATGCATACAGATATCTGCCACAAAAATTTTGGGTAGGCATAAGTAATATATGCTAAAAGCATATGCCTGACAATACAATACACGTATGCATATGAACACTATCAAAATATTGATGACCCAAGGTGTTTGCTAAAGGATGGCCAGTACTTTGATACTTTAATCAAATGATAGTAGTACTGCCGTCCACATCAGACATTGCTATCTGAAACAGTTAGGGAGTGAGTTTGGTTTTACGCCACTTTTAGCAATTTTCCAGCAATATCACGGCGGGGAACAGCAGAAATGGGCTTCACATATTGTACCCATGTAGGAAATCGAACCCCGGCCTTCGGCGTGACGGGCGAACGCTTTATAATATCACGAGGCTACCCCATCGCCCCTATCTGAAACCGGATACCTCAGAGAGATCATATGTAAAATTGTTTCTGATAAGTATGATTAGAAAATATTGCAAGCACGTCGTTATATGTCAACTGTAATCTCACAAGTGGTATACTATTGATGAACACTTTACCAAAGCCCGTCAATGTATGACGTGAAAAAAATTGGCGATAAAAGCGTTCAATAATCTCAAATCAAAGCAGCGTCTCATGTACGATTTCGACTATTCAGTAGATGTGTGGATATGAATCAGTATCAAATATAACAATTAAAGTGAGCATATATTGGCACACGTCACAAACACATGCAAAGGCAAGTCAATTGTTAATCTTAAAAGCACGGTAAAATACATACATGTTGTGAAAGTCAAAATAGACAATGGCATAGGACATAACTTTGGTTACCGATACTTTGGAAGTGTGCTCCTATCCAAAGCCTTTACTAAGAGCAAGACATACCAACATCTGGCGTCGAGGTAGAAGTTTCTTCTGTTGTAGTAGTATCTGACGTTGATGTCTGAAATACAAATTAATGGTTTACAACGAAGAGGCAAAGAGAGGAACAGCCAGGTGTACGTGGAGCACGTGCACAAGTGCCGACAAAGTTATTGATTCTTTACCTGTGCTGTGCCGTCTCCATCCTTTCTCGCACACCTGGCTGTTCCTCTCTTTGCACCCCACCCTCGTAAGAAATAGTGGACTGTGTCAAAATTGTTGTGATAGTTTGTAAAAAAACTTTTAGGTTTTAGGACATAAATTCTGCAAAAAAATCACAGAGTTGGTCTGATGTTTTGATTATGATCAGTGTTTCATTGAGTATTATATGTTTAGTAGCTATAGTTTTCGAGTTAGATTGCTATTCATCGGTCCGCTTTTGAGCCAAACGGACTATAGTATAGGGACAATTTCAGTTTTTAGGTTATGAGACTTCGCAACCCTACTGCACACCACTTGACTCATATGTTCTGTCACTATTCAAGGAGATACACGTCATGTACATAAGGAGATATCACCAGGATATAGTAACATAGGGTACATTCAAGTGTCTGGATCACTCCGTTATAACGCCCTACTCAGCAATAATATCAGCTGTGTTACGCTTGCCTGTAATTGTAAGAAATCTCTGCTGGAAGCGGAATCGACTGTACAACTCTGACTAGATCATGTGATAATTGTTTCAGCAGTACTAAAGGACGACACAATCCAGTGATTGTCACTATGGGATACGATGACAGAGCATGCCTCAGCTTTAACTCAAATTTTGAGATGAGTTTGAGAATTTGAAACAGCTGAATTTCCTACTCGGTCGCGTTCCTAAAAACTCACATTGTCCACTAAGCTTGAGTTTAACGTCGATTTCAGTTTATTTCAGGAAATCATTTGCTGATTTTCGAGAAATCGACCTCAGGGGTTCCTCTAAAAGGATAAGATCTACCTGCATCACCCACCACTCACACAAATGGAGTGAAACAGTACGTGTAAGTGTGTATTTTATGATGCACAACATGTGACACTTTAATAAATAATTTTCTTCTTCTTCTTTCTTCTTCTGTGTTGCCTGGCTAAGCACAGCACAACTTCTGCCATGCGACGGCAGCCTGTCGGTGTAAACAATGGGGGCATTAAATGATCGATAATCCATAAACTCCAGTCAGACACTAGCGTACATGACGGAACTAATAAGGTTATGTTAGAAAGGCATTGGGAAGCAGACAAATGAATGAGTTGTACAATTGTTCAGTTATATCAGATTGATGTGTCAGGAATGCTTGAAATGATGCATGACATTTAGACATTGAATACTTTGCTGAAACCCAAGAACTGGCATGTGCGGTAAACCTGGCAACCAAATCAGGGATTCGAACCAATAAACATTGCTTTCTGTTGAGCACCTGCAGGGCGTCAAACGACTGAACGACTCCATTTCCAACAGCAGTAGAGTATAGCGGGTGATAGATAAGTATGGCCGACATCTTCAGCACCTCGTTTGGAAAAGCAACTGAATCATTCTGAGTGAGTGAGTGAATTTAGTTTTACGCCGCACTCAGCAATATTCCATCTATATGGCGGCGGTCTGTAAATAATCGAGTCTGGACCAGACAATCCAGTGATCAACAGCATGAGCATCGATCTGCGCAATTGGGAACCGATGACATGTGTCAACTAAGTCAGCGAGCTTGACCACCCGATCCCGTTAGTCGCCTCTTACGACAAGCATAGTCGCCTTTTGTGGCAAGCATGGGTTGCTGAAGACCACGGGTCCAATCATTCTGAACACTCACCGGAATTAATGATGCGACGCTGAGAGCCGTTAACATAAAACCCCATCTGATATCCATTGTGAATTCTACCCGATACTAAGGTCAGATGTGGAATGCGAGGGCTGACATGAGAGGAGGTGTAAACTGACTGAGAAGCCTATAAAGGGAAATGTAGGGCAGGTCAGCTGCTGATAGGAAGGCGATAGTGTTACTGTGTATCCATTGTGTTTTGCAATAGAGAGACATGTGATAGGGATAGTGTCTGTAAAGAGATTATCAAGGAGTAATATATATATATTAACTGATACTAGATTTTGAAATCACTGGTATCATCATTATTTGATAGTGATTCATAAATACATGTTCATGATATAGACACAACTGTACAATCGACATTGCTTTTAGCAGAGATTTCTCATGGATGTTGAAAGGGTTTTGTCATCATTGGCTTCCAATAAGAGCAAGGATCCAGTTAATAATTCTCTGTCTGACATATAAATCTCTGCACGAGCAATCTCCTCCATACGTATCAGAGCTGATATCAGCCTATGACCCAGGACGGGAACTAAGATCTCAACACCAGAACCTACTGACAGTGCCACAATACAAACTCAAGTCCTTTGGTCAGAGATCTTTGAAACATTATGCCCCCTACATGTGGAACTTTCTTCCCCAAGATATTAAACTTTCCCCAACGTTTGATTCATTCAAAGCGAGTCTCAAAATCTATCTTTTCCGCTAGTTCTATGAATCATAATAACATTGTCATCATCCCTTCCTATGTACCTTGAGCATGCTGCTAGCGTGGAAATGAGCGCATTATAAATGTGCATAATTATTATTATTATCTGGTGTCATAACTTTTTTATAGTTATTCATATATCGTGTCTCATGTTGTCAATCACTGGATTGTCTGTTCTAGACTCAACTGTTTACACACAGCGTCGTATAGCTGTAATACTGCTGAATTCGGCGTCAAACAAACGCCTACTCATGATATAGTCGGAATAATACGATCGATTCTGCTTTTAGCAAAGATTTCTCTTAGATCTAGAAAAGGCCGTTGTTGTTTTTATTTATGGATAGACTGTATTTAGACACAAAGTCGAAACATAATTTTTTAAATCTAATGTTGGTCAATTGTTTAAGTACCGCTGAGGTGTGTCCAAAAGATTTGACCACTATGGAAAATGACATCGTTTTAAGACACAAGTTGCACTTGAACAAACACATTACCATAGGTCTGTAGATGTATTATGCAGTAGGTGTCTTGAGATAGACCCAAGAATAATAATGACTTCCATCTATATTTCTATTCAGAATAATGTACTACAAACCTGACTGAAACTATTCTAAACCTACAGCTTCAACTTCCCTTCTGAACTTGGCTATAACTGTAAGCAATCACATAGTTACGAAGTAATCCCTAAACAATGCATAGCGAGAGAGTATCGCTTACGAAGTGGTAACATGTTGACACACGATAACGATTACAATTTGAATATCTCATGTATCAATATCTAACTTTCGATCAGGTTGTAATTAGTGACAAGATTAACCTGTACGTGTCGTTTCTCAGGTTTATCAAAATTGATAAGAATAAATTACACCCACATACCACGTCCTGTTGTTGCTACTTGAAGTACTTGACCCAGTAGTGCAAGCGATCTTGATATGCTATCTTATTTCAGGTCATCAAATTCGAAACTTGGGCGACAGTTATCATTATCGCCTCAGCAGAGTATCAAAGTTCTGAACATATACTGAACATTTGGTAAGTTTAGATGCTGTTCTAATAAATTTAAAGTTATAAAATACAAATATGTTCAAAATTATTATGTCCATACTGCAGAGAAGGTGAAGAAGACGAATATCATGTTCTGTTTATGTGTCCATATTACGCCGGGAACATTATTCATCTGTGTATTTTTATAGTATTATTATAAATGTACTACACATTTAATTTATACAAATAGACAACAAGAGCCAGTTATCCTTTGCTCCGCTTTGCCTCCAAAGTGTATAAAGTATTCAAATCAACATTATAGCGCTCTGAAAATGTAACAGCCTTACATCTTAAACTGTACTCTAGGCCTCCTGGCCCCGAAATGCAATAAACTTCTGTTATCCTGTTATTCAGTTGGTATCACCACAGTCAACAATTCACATGCACATGATTATTATTAAGTAGGAATGGTGGCATGGACTCTGATGATAACAGATATTTTGTCATAATTAAGGAAGGGTTCTGTCGCTTACATCGTGATGTATTGACGGGTTGTTGACACTGGCCATCCATTAACATTATGACACAATTCGTGAATATATCGTAGACTGACTGACTGCCTGAGTTTTAGTTTTACCCCGTTTTTAGCAACATTCCAGCAATATCACGGAGGGGGACACCAGAAATGGGCTTCACACATTGTACCCATGTGGGGAATCGAACCCGGGTCTTCGGCGTGACGAACTAACGCTTTAACCACTAGGCTACCCCACCGCCCCTTTCGTAGACAGAGGACAGACTGTGCATATTGCATAACATAAGAGATACGTGTCCTTACTGTGATCCTTATGGATGTAGCCGGCGTTCCTTCCAATGTACCACATTATATTTGATAGGATTTTTCTTTAATTTATTTTACGTTAAAGACGTTTTTAAAGGAGGGTGGATGTAAAAATTAACAGGACAAACGCTATTGACTGGAAATGAAGGTAGCGAAATATACTTTCAAAGAAAGGTGCAAGAGTGCATAGGACAAACACTATTGACTGGAAATGAACATCGCGAAATGTACCTTTCATGGAAGGGTGTAAGAGTCCATCGGACAAAACACATTGGCTAGAAATGAACATCGCGAAATGTACCTTTCATGGAAGGGTGTAAGAGTGCATCGGACAAAACACATTGGCTAGAAATGAACATCGCGAAATGTACCTTTCATGGAAGGGTGTAAGAGTGCATCGGACAAAACTCATTGGCTAGAAATGAAGGTCGCGAAATGTTTTCTGTCTGGTCATGTTTGACACTGTCTTCGCCATCTATGATACAACCTTTCCAGCATCTGATCATCATTTTACTTGGGTACAAACGGTTCTTGTCTATCACTTCCATGATCGTATAGAAATAACTTTAATCTGCATCTGTTAATTAACTTTTTCACAACTGTTTGACAAGAGTGAGTGAGTGAGTTTAGTTTTACGCTGCATTCAGCAATATTCCAGCTATATGGCGGCTGTCTGTAAATAATCGAGTCTGGACCAGACAATCCAGTGATCAACATCATGAGCATTGATCTGCGCAATTGGGTTTGACAAGATGGTTGAGACGATTAAAATGTGCATGATATCGAAGCATTGTATTTCTGAAAATGGAATGACATTCCATTGCTGCACAAAATGCAGCCAGACAGTAAGTGGAGTGGGAGTGATACGATTGAAATGTTTCACTCAAGTGGTGTTGGAGCGTACAACGGAGCACCATACACTGATTTTAAGTGATAGTGATGAACGTCTCTGAATTTCAGATTTACGGTTATAGATATATTCTGGGTTCTGCATGTGATTATCAAAACCAGCGCTCGATAAACCGGTAGGTATATTACGAATGCCCAGTGGGTACCATGTTGAGGATTTATTACCCGTCATAACATATGCCATATAACTGCTACCGAGAAATCGCATTCCAATGGGTCAGAGTCCATTGTTATATCTGGGAAGTATTGACTTATCCTAAGCCATACCAAAGGTACAAAGCATTCATGGGACACTCACGCGGATTTTGAGATAATAAACACAACGAACAAATGAGCTGTTTTTTAAGCATTTTAATTTATTTCTTTGGTAACACTTTTGACGAATCAAATCATTTCTTTTACGATGCTGGAGTATTTCATTTCCATCTGTTATACAAAGCATACAAGAAGAAATTGAAGGACATGCACACAAGATAATTGTCCTTGGCAATAGTTGATACAGTCAACCGTGCATAATAAAGCAAACAATAACCTGAAAATCAACAACAACAAAATTCAGATATTATGAGACTAACATCTCCTTTGTGTGATCATTCGAGGCATTTGGGTCTCTCTGTATCATTGGCTCTTGATCAATGCTTCTTTGTATCACACAAAACAAAACAAAGACAACAGAGACACTTAGACTCTTAAATTTCAAAGAAATAGGATCAGTTCATCTCATAGTGTTCCACGAATACCCTCACCTGGTCAACTCTGAGGGAACTGCAAGATGTAACTGCATCTTCCTGAAGAATGTTGACACAATTCTGGTAGACATAGGAAACTTAAAGAACTATTTAGATAAATGTAAACAGGCACATGATAAAAGCCATGAGTTTTGACTGAACGTCTTGAAGTGTCCTCTTTCCGGTTTTCTTTCCGCTGTCCTCATCATCTGATGTAAGGCTTCTCCACATTCTGCTCAGTCTTAAAACTGCGGTACGATTTGTTGCTTGTTCCCAGAGACTTTTTTTGTTGAGCATTCTGTATTCTCCTAGACGGAAGGATGCGCCTGAAGACAAAAACGAGGGAATTTAACATATTGTTGGTGTCGTATCGTCCATGCTGGCACGTAAGTGACATTACATATATTAAAATTGTGTATTCGTTAAATGATCACCAGTTTGAAAAAAGATTGCGGAGTCGATTACGATATGAGTGCATATGTCTTTGGCTAACGAACTGTGTTCAAACTGAAAGAGTATACTGAAGATACATCATCAGAACATTTTACCCTGACAAAATATACAGTCTTAATTGGCGGAAATAATACCGACCTAATGAACCATATACTTCTTGCTGGTAAAAAAATACAGCCATGTATCAAGTATTAAAAAAAATATGTAATCACTGGATGCATTTGTAAAAATATTGTGTGATATTTTCATGACAGAAAAGTTTATTGCCAACAAAACTAAAAAAATATTTGACAGAAAATGGTCATCTCTGTTGCATATATTCCCAGCGTAATATTAATGATATTTCCAGTATGTGTAATGCCTACCCATATGAACGTCTGTCTTATTGTGTACTAGTTCTGTTGCATTAGCTATTGTGTATATTTGTATCTACTGATTTGAATGAAGAAAAGAAAAAAATATGTGGTCTTGTTTTTCTTTATCTTCCGATCAATCAAACCAAGGCTTGGTTACGGTGTGATGGAAAAGAGCGAATGCTCCGGAATAAATTTATGCTTAAAACACTACAGTACTAACTTCGAAGGCAACCTGTCCTTTCTTTGGGGTGTCCCGTAATGAAATTCGAACCACGAACCTTCTGATCCGATGTCGGACGACCTGTCCACGTGACCAAACAGGTTCACCCTGTCAGCAAGCTGACATATTCTGACTAAAGACATCGCTACCCCTGTACCAACCATATGTTTTCATGGTGATGTTATTGCAGTTTATTTACAATAAAACATCTTCCTTAAACAAGTGATACATACGTGTATACAACCAGCAATGCAATCACAGCAAGAAGGATGACAATGATGGTACCACAGACAGCTGAGACGATGAGCAGACTTTTGGAGGCTAGGGGAAATAAATCGATAGTTAATTATTGATGCACACTGACAAGCTGACAAGGTAAGTACAATGGTTCCACACCCTGCAGACCCAATTTAGACCCGGAATCGTCATTTGCTTGAATATTTATGTGCTTTATTTACGCTTTATGGAAATTGCATTTTTTTCCTTTGCTTCTTTGCAGCTGAGTGTCATAATCGAAAAACAGATCATTATTTTACAATACATACTCCATTGATAGATATCAAAAGCAACGGCCCCCGGTGTTTGGGCACGATGTCTCACAGACAAACGTAACCAGACAATCGTTTGTCACTTCTTACAAACAGGGAAGCCAAGATTAGGCTTTACACACTGTACTATTAATGATAATCGGTATGGGAAAGCAATGAGAGCCCCTCCTACAATGGTGGAGACTACACACAATTACAACCTTTAAGTTAACGCTGGTGGAGCAGGTAGTGTCGGGGGCTGGAATGGGCTGTACATAGCATTTAAGTGGGTAATCAGAAACAGGTCAAAGGCAGATTGAACCTGCACTTTAAATACTGCGAAAGTCTGGAACCGACCTATGTAGTTTGGGGAAAGATGGTCAAGATATACATACAGTCGGATGTTTTATCGGCCCTTGCTGGCAACACGAACACCATACCTGTGTAAAAACAGAATACATGTAGGGTCAGTCTACTGGTACTGTAAAGCAAATGTTACCACAGTACGTTTACTTGTGGAATGAGCAACTCAAGCTTGACAAAGTCGCACTCACAAAATACAAGAAGTTGTTATCCAAGAAATTGGTCATCGAAGAACACTTATATCCACAAATGTGTTAAACCTTCACATGGAACGTTACACGATAAGATCATAAATGATGCCAAATATTTCCTTACGCTCAGGATCCATTCTTGAAATAATTGATTTCTTTTCACCCTTAAATTCCGCATTTGCAAAAACCTGTAACAGATTATTCAAGAATATACGTTAGTATGATATACTGAAATATGATTCTTGTATCTGACTTGCACATTACAAAATATCGATTTAATATAACAATTCCTGTTCATCGATTGTGTATAATCATTTCGATCACTATGTACAAAAATATATGATTTAAAATATAAACACAAATACCTTTGACGAAACATTAAAGCATAATTATATCTGTTTTCATGGTAAATCTGAGGCACCCCATCACACCCACATCATTCCATGGTTGCTCGTAAATCACCGGTCATTCTTCAAATCGATATGATATACATCACGTTCTGGCATACTTACTGTAAACGTGTAGTTAATGACGGGAGCCATCGGCACGAACATTGACTTCGTGTCCGTGCAGGGATCCTCAGGCTTGTAGCTCCCGTAATGCTCTTCCTGGGATACCTGCATACACGTACATGTATTTATCTTCATATGAAGGAATTGTTGACATGTTCATATGTTCATATGAGGGATTGTGGACATGTTCACGTGTTCATATGAGGGATTGTGGACATGTTCATATGTTCAAATGAGGGATTGTTGACATGTTCATATGTTTATATGAGGGATTTTGGACATGTTCATATGTTTACTAGTATATGAGGGAATTGTGGACATGTTCATATGTTCATATGAGGGATTGTGGACATGTTCATATGTTCAAATGAGGGATTTGTTGACATGTTCATATGTTTACTAGTATATGAGGGAATTGTGGACATGTTCATATGTTTATATGGGGGATTGTGGACATGTTCATATGTTCATATGAGGGATTGTTGACATATTCATATGTTAATATGAGGGATTGTTGACATGTTCATATGTTTACTAGTATATGAGGGAATTGTGGACATGTTCATATGTTTATATGAGGGATTGTGGACATGTTCATATGTTCATATGAGGGATTGTTGACATGTTCATATGTTCATATGAGGGATTGTTGACATGTTCATATGTTCATATGAGGGAATTGTTGACATGTTCATATGTTCATATGAGGGATTGTGGACATGTTCATATGTTTATATGAGGGATTGTTTACATGTTCATATGTTCATATGAGGGATTGTGGACATGTTCATATGTTCATATGAGGTTCATTTGTTCATATGAGGGATTGACATGTTCATATGTTTATATGAGGGATCGTGGACATGTTCATATGTATATATTAGGGATTGTGGACATGTTCATATGTTTATATGAGGGATTGTGGACATGTTCATATGTTCATATGGGGGATTGTGGACATGTTCATATGTATATATTAGGGATTGTGGACATGTTCATATGTTTATATGAGGGATTGTGGACATGTTCATATGTTCATATGGGGGATTGTGGACATGTTCATATGTTCATATGAGGGATTGTTGACATGTTCATATGTTTATATGAGGGAATTGTGGACATGTTCAACTGAGGGAATTGTACACATGTCCATACGTTCATATGAGATAATTGAATGGTAAAATTGAGAAATAATAATGCAAGAACAAACGGGAACAGAGAAGAGTAATTTATCGTGTATTTCTTGCAAAACATTTTGAATGCATTACAGTTTGGTTACAAACGCCACTGACAGACCAAAAGGAAGTGGTATATATGCTTTACGAGTGAGTCAATGAATAACTGAGTATGGTTTTACGCAGGTTTTAGCAATATTCCAGCAATATCACTGCGGGGAACACCACAAATAGGCCTCACACATTGTGCCCATGTGGGGAATCGAACACGATGATGTTCGACGTGACGAGTGAACGCTTTAACTACTGGACTACCCTACCGCCCCTATTATGATGATTACGACAGATACAAAGTATCCACACCGAACTGTTTAAGCGGTGAAAACCACATGATCCACATCGTGACGAGAAATATTAATAATAATTTGGGATATCAAACAATAGTCACTTTATCAAGTGTTATGGAAGTGGAATCATGCATTGGTTCATAGTAAATGGTCCTTTTACCTAGAGCTATCTTTGTGTTTCGTGATGTTATCATCGAGTTGAAAATGTGTTCATTTTATGAATAAATGAATGAATGAATGAATGAAAACCTTCACATCCGATATACATACATCACCCTTGTAATGTACGGTGTACTTCAGAATACGCCCATTCCTCTGTTTCTCCTCGGGACAATTCCACGTGAGTATCGTGCCAAAGTAGGGCTCGGGTACAGTGGTGGCTGTCAGGTTCTCAACAGGGCCAGGCGCTGTGGTTGAAGAGGAAAACCTCATGTGATGTGCAACTCTAATAATATATTTCAAAGTGACTACAAAAGGTTTGAGAAAGAAGTACCCTTCAGGGTGGGACGGACGTCAAATAACTGAGGTGTATATTGTGATTTGAAACCTCTGATTGACAAGTCTGAATCGCGAATTTCCAAATCCATGGCAGATTGTAGAATAAGGCCAGGATAAGGATACATGCTTTAGTATAAGTGAGTGGTTGAGTGAGGTCTTAGGCTTTTAGCAATACTCCAGGGGATTCTAGAAGTGGACTTCACACGTTGTACCCTTATGAATTCGAAGAATCGAACACGGGACAGGTGAACGCATTAACCACCAGGCTAGCCTTTCGACATAACTGTCATTGACATACAGTATGATTATTTAGTATGTTGGGGGGGTGGGATCGGGTGTATCTTTTGGGGCTATTTATTTGTTGCTAGTTTCATTCCCTCTGTTTGTGGTAACATCAGGATAAGACACAAGTCCAAAGTCGGCGTCGTTGCGTTCAAACCTTAAATACTTAGTTTAAACATATTTTATTCACAATGTGAAAAGGATCGGGGACAAGTTCTTTCAACTTATTAAACCCCCCTCCAAGATATTTACAATAACTAATTACATCACAAGCAATTATTAGAAACAGAGACAGAGAAAGACTGAAAGACTGACTGACTGACTGAGTTTAGTTTTACGCCGCTTTTAGCAATATTCCAGCAATATCACGGCGGGAGACACCAGAAATGGGCTTAACACATTGTGCCCATGTGGGGAATCGAACCCGGGTCTTCGGCGTGACGAGCGGACGCTTTAACCACTACGCTACCCCACCGCCCCAAAAAGACTGAAAGATAACAGTGGGAAATGTTATAATACAAAAGGTGTATAGAGAGACGACTACTGGAATCGTTCAGATTTGCATATATAGTGATGTACAATTTCATTTTTATGATTTGTCAGATCTACATTGCCGTTTAAAATAACAGATAATGTAATCACAGAATTACTACCACATACATCTTGAATAGCTTTAAGCATGATCTTTCTATGGTGATTGTATAAAGAACATTGTAAGAAATAGTGATGAGCATTTTCGCATGGGTTTCTACATGCGCAGGATGGATCAATGATTAGCCCTACTCTGTACAGATCGTAACTTAATCTACTAGCTTCATGACGTAGTTGAGTATGGAATATGTTAAATTTTCTAATACGTAAGAAAAGTACAGTGGAGCTGCTTTATATGATGTTATTATGCTCGATTTAAACTTTGATAATTTGTTCCACAATCTTATAGTCGATGGGAAGAACGACTCATGAGAATTTTTTATTCTTGTTCTTGGCAAGCAGATATTTCCTGAATTTCTTAGATTATATTGACTCCTGGAGCCCACGAACTGAGGAATTATTTCTTTTAGGTAGATTGGACTTTTGTTGTTTTGAATATTATAGAACAAAGACAATTTTCTTATTCTTCTACGCTCTGATAGTGCTTCCAAGCCTGTTTCATAATATAGTGAATTAAAAATAGTGAATTAAAAGAAGAATATTTGGGAAGTCCTGTAATACTTCTTGCAGCTTCCATCTGGAGCCTTTTAATTTTAAACTTAGTTCTTTTCCGCAGCCATCCCAGACTTCGCATGCGTACTCAAAGTGAGGTCTTATAAAAACTGTGTAAATCTTTAGAAGTGTATTTCTATTAAGAATATATTTAAGTTTTCTCATTGAGTAAATCATTTTAGAGGTTTTGGAAACAATATTAGATACAAGTGATTACCATTTGCCGTTCGATGAAAGTATTATCCCCAAATGTTTATGATCTTCTACCGTTTTAACAATCTTATCGTCAAATAATAAGTTAATCGAGCAAATATCATCTTTAAGTGAGAAAAGTACTGATTCTGTCTTATCTGGGTTGTATGATATCAACCACTTGTTTGCCCAGTCGTTTAACCTTCTGAGATTTACGTTTAATGAGGTTTCTATTCTGTTAAGATTTCCAGAAGCCTCGCCTAATGATGTGTCATCTGCAAATAGTCGCGTTATGCAATCTAAGTCATCAGCAATATCATTTACATAAGCAATGAATAAAAACGGACCCAACACTGATCCCTGTGGGACGCCAGCTTGGAGTAGCCTTGGTTTAGACAGAGTTCCATTAACAAAGACCTTTTAATAGCGATTACATATGTAATTACATAACCACTCTAACAATCTACCTTTAATGCCATATATTTCCAATTTATGCATAAGCCCTCCTCTGTGCCTTAAATACTTCCGACCCAGACAACATATAATCCGTACTATTACGTTACATTTGATAATCATACCTGCTGGGGATGTCATTACGACACTTGACGCGTTTGGAGCATGCGCAGAGCCTGCGGGAGTGTAAGCCGTCACCGTGAACTTGTACTCCCACGAACTTAGGAGACCTGGCACCTCACATGACGTTGTATTGAACCCTGGAATGTAAAGATTCACCTTACACAAATATATGCCAGATGGAGAAAGTGAGTGAGAGAGTGAGTTGAGTTTTACGCCACACTCAGCAATATTCCAGCTATATGGCGGCGGTCTGTAAATAATCGAATCTGGACCAAACAATCCAGGGATCAACAGCATGAGCATCGATCTGCGCAACTGGGAACCGATGATATGTGGCAACCAAGCCAGCGAGCCTGACCACCTGATCCCGTTATGCCAGATGGAGAAACATTGTCAATTCGAACACCATGTTCTTGATCAAATGACGTTAAAGACGATGCACGTTTGGAGTCTTTTGGACAGAATCCAGTTTTACGCCGCTTTTAGCAATATTCCAGCAATATCACGGCTGGGGACACCAGAAATGGGCTTCACACATTGTACCCATATGGGGAATCGAACCCGGGTCATCGGCGTTACGGGCAAAGGCCTTTCACCACGACGCTACCCCAACGCCCGATAACCTTTTAGAATCCTAATCCTTAATCCTAATACTGACGTTTGTTTTCTAATTCCAGTTCTTAAGGTAACACCATAAACAGACTTAATTGTGGTCGGAAGATATTTTTGTCAAACGTTCGTGATGAGATCAACGATCTTCCGTAGGGTTTAGATACACAGGTCTTTGTTTCAACATTGAGCTGAAATATATCATAATTGTTCAACATTATTTGCAAATGTATGTAAAACATACAGTGTAAAATTAAATTATTCAATCAGGCGCAAAAACAATAATCCATTTCCGAACATTAAGGCCAAATTTGACTGTTCAATATCACGGGAAAATTAAGATTTTTAATACTCTGTAAAATCAAATTCCATAATCAAAAGTAAATACTAATATCCCGTTGAATATTATCTTAAATATGTCAGCTCACATTTAGTAACACCGTAACTGTAGCTATAATTTTAAAACCAACAAATGCATGTCCACCCGCCATTTCTCAGATGTATACACCTGTGCACTGCATTGATCATGCTGAAGGCTGATCAGAATGGATCAGTTATATTATTGCACCCTAAGCTGTTAGTCCCGTACCATCGACCAGTATTATAGTCTTGATGGAGAAGTTTGACGAGCGTCTCCCAGTCGCCTCCAACACTGTGACGTTGTACCAGGTGGGGCCGTTGTCTTGTGTCGGCTGTACCCAGGTCACCTTGATAGTGGAGGTGTTCAGAACGGTTGCATAGACGCCTCTTGGTTGTAAAGGGGCTAGAAAATATTCAAAATGTATTAATAATGAGTTCAACAAAAAGGTAATCGGCGGAATATTTCACGGATCCAAAATTAATTTTATTACATAATACGTTTTCTTCGTGATATCGGGAAACTATGTAAGTTAGTTTTTTATCATGGAATGTGTTATTTTTAATGTCTTAAACGTCAGTGAAACTAAAATAAATAATGATTTCGTATCTGTACATCATGCAATTATTTAATGTTATCCGAAGCTGCAATTAGCCCAACATATTCAGTGTTAATACAGTTAATTCATGAATCGCTTACCCGATACAAGGCCTTATTCTGTATTCTTAATAATTGAGTATGAAGCAGACAAAATTGTGATCGATATAATGAACACAAAACGATTCCAGTCTGGGAAATACCACGCAGCCACAGAGCCTGATCACCCACAGCAAGCATAGAACAAGCACAGAACAAGAACTGCAACCATTTGCAAAGACTTCAAGTATAATAACCCAAAGGGATTTAAATAAACTAGTGAATATACGCAATGTGATAAGGTAAGTATCTCTCAGGGGTTTACGAAACGCGTCAATGTGCGTCTCCTACGCCCACATGTAGAGAATGAACGCAGAAAAAAATCACCGAGTCTAAAGGGACGCATAATATCATATTTGTACTCAAAACACATCTATTACTTTGCTGATTGTTTGGTTGTTTCTTTCTGAGCAGTTGCATGCATCGTGTCGACAGTCATGACCTGTGTCCATATGATCAATTATCAATCTCTCAAGACTCAATAAATTATCAAAACGTAGTTCTCTACACTGATACTTCACCGGACCCTCATACTGCCTGCAATGACCCTTAACACTAATAATTAGGGCTCCCCGGGACCACCATGTATGTGAGACGAGAGAAAACGCTGGATCTCTGAAGTCAAGTTAAAACTCTCGTGCACTTTTGCATGACAGGCAACAACCAGTTACCAACCTGATATTTCCGTTTGTATGAATAACGTTGAATTTGGTCCACTATATAAATCATTCCTGGCACTGATGCTGACGGTGAAGTTTGTATATGGACTTAACGACGATACGTTGTAAGACATGTCGCTCTGGCAATCGTTGGGAGCAGTCAGCATCGTGACCCTGCATCCTTGCTGAAAAAAAACTAATCTAGCGTAAACAGTTTTACCTCAAATCGGTGCTTTTATATCATAATGATAACTATGAGAGGCAAATGAATGAATGGATGAGGTTAGCTTTACGCCGCAGTCAGCAATATTACAGCTATATGGCGGCGGTCTGTAAACATTCAAATCTGGACCAGACAACCCAGTGATCAACAGCATGAGCATCGATCTACACAAGTGGGATACGATCATATGTGTCTACCAAGTGATATGTGTCGAGCCTGAACACCCGACCCCGTTAGTCGCCTCATACGACAAGCATGGGTTACTGAAGATCAGTTCTAACCCGGATCTTCACCGGTGAAAGGCAAATGAAGTTCACACTTCATTTTATACATGTTTGTTGAAACGTGGTAATTATTGGTCTAGAAACGTGTCGATTAAGTATGAATTTGCTGTTTTGTCTTTTTCCGAATGTTTGTGGGTGGCGGTTTCTGAGTGAACAACATTTGAAGCCCATTGCTGGTGTCTCCCGCTGTGAAATTCATTCATTCATCATCAAGGTTGTTACATGCACATTCTTCAAAACAAAATGTCATGGTCTTAATATATTCGAGGAAGGAATGTTATGTGTTGTTTATTGACTTGTTGTCAGAAGACAAGAAGTGTTCGTCAATGCTAGTTTCCTTAAACGAACAATTGAAACACTACTTTAACATTATTCATCACAAAAAGGTTGCTTTCTTAACCATTTGTACTAATTAACGTGTGCCTCGTCATGCTCCAACGCACACAGTGACTTGTTCATTCCCAGCGCAACTTCGGCTGCGTTTAACAGTACTTCAGCCAGTGTTTTGTATTAGTCGGAATTTTACAATGAATGAAAGAACGAATTAAGAGCAAGAATTATATGTGAATGAATGAAAGAAATAAAGAAAAAGAACAAAAGAAAGAAATACATATGTGAATGAAAGAAGAAATGATACACCACGGCCATCCCTCCCCAAACATGTTAAAGAACGCAAAACTATCGGTAGAAAACATGTGTTAACATCAGCTGTCCTTTTTTTAAAATCTACTTTGAGACATCTTTTTACATTAGTAACTAATTCAGATATCTTATTGCATGTGTGGAATGGCATGGACATTGACAGAATGTTATCTGACACTGTCACAGACCCCTCAAAAACAGAAAGTTTAGAACTATCACAAAGCGTTGTAAACACCTTTCCAGCTTTGTCAAATACTAAGATCAACAAGAAAGAAAGAAGTTTTAGAACTATAACACTCAAGCATCACAAGCATCAATGGCGTATCAGAACAGATCGGCGATATGTCATATTTTTCACACACCTCAAATACACCCAAACAAAAAAATTTAAATTGTAATACTATCACTGTTACTTGCAAACACCTTTCACCAGATGGTATATTCCCCTTATGAAAATTAAAGATGTATGTGAAAGATGTTTTAGAACAATAACTAGAAACACTCAAACAATGCCCTGTAGTATTTCAATGGCTGATCGGCGATATGTCATATTTTTCACACACCTCAAATACACCCTAACAAAAAAATTTTAGTTATAAAACTATCACTATTACTTGCAAACACCTTTCAACTAAAGGTATATTTCCCTTCTAAAAATTAAACGAATATGTGAAAGAAGTTTTTAGCGATAGAATTGAGTCTTTCTTCGCTGTGTACTGAGAATTGAAGCCAGTGAGCTACAACATGCCGACTTGGAACTTTACTACAAATCTACTGTACTAATACTGACACTAATAACAATTATTTGACTTAAAATGAAGTGACAGAATAGGTAACTTATCTTCAACATGTAGGTTTTCAGTTGTCACAACACTCAACGTATGTAATCAGCTGCTGAAAATATACCGGGCTCAATCTTAAAACCTACGCTTCCGCCATATTACCTAAACTGGTCACGCGACGAGCCGAGGCATACGCTTAGGGGCTTTCCGAGGAGTGACCTCTCCCCCTTATATAGTCTCCCTGTTATAAGTTACGTTTGCTAGTTTCCTTAAACGAACTCTTGAAACAGAATGTGAACATTATTACCCACAAAAAGGTACTTTAAAATAATGCAATAATCGGTTGCCTTTTATAGAAAATAGAATAATAAGTTCTTATAAGTTACATTAATTCAGTATTTTATGTCAAATGTTATTACTCGTCTTCTGTGTTAAGATGATATGGTTAGAGTGGCCAAGATTCACATACCGGTTGTCGTGAAGTCTCCGTGCACTTGTACACAACCTCTTGGGAACATATTCCATTTGCATTGAAAACTATATCATAATACTGTATAACACCGGGTGTCGTGGGCGCTTCCCAAGACAGACTCACAGAGGTATTCGTCACATCGGTAGCGTTGAAGTCCCCAATGTTACCTGGTTCTGTAAAAGACCGATTTGTACAGAAACGTAACCGGGGCAAATTGTAATAGTGATGATAATGGTGTGATAATAATGACGGTAGAATGATTCCGCCGGTGTCTAGAATAAATCCAAATGCCGAGACTGACAAACAGGGTGCGATGTTTGTTGTCAATATGATATACACAAGTTAAATGTTTCATCTCGCTCAAAGTGTTGCATGTCATTGATGATACATATATACAGTCATGAAAACACAAAGTGTAAAAAATGAACTTTGAATTTAGTGGTATTTGAAGAGGAATTTTGTTTTCATTTCATATCGTTTTTGAGTAGTAATAGTGGTAGTAGTAGTAGTAGTAGTAGTAGTAGTAGTAGTAGTAGTAGTAAGAGAAGAAAAAGAAATAGCAGCAACAGTAGTAGTACTGTTTCGTAGTTGTACTAGTACTGTGTTGTAGTCGTCTTTGTAGTGGTAGTAGTAGTAGAAGCAGCAGCAGTAGTAGAAGTGCAGCAGTATTAGTCGTCGTCGTAGTCGTAATGGTAGTAGTATTAGTGGTGGTAGCAGAAGCAGCAGCAGTAGCAGTAGTTGTAGAAGTAGAAGCAACAGCAATACCAGTAGTAGTAGTTGGACTAGTAATAGTAACAGCAGCAATAGTAGTAGTATAGTTGTAGTCGTGGTAGTAGTAGTCGCAGTAGTATGGTAATAATAGAAGTAGAAGCAGCAGCAATAGCAGTAGTAGTAGTTGGACTAGTAGTAGTAACAGCAGCAATAGAAGTAGTATAGTTGTAGTCGTGGTAGTAGTAGTCACAGTAGTATGGTAATAATAGAAGTAGAAGCAACAGCAATAGCAGTAGTAGTAGTTGGACTAGTAGTAGTAACAGCAGCAATAGTAGTAGTATAGTTGTAGTCGTGGTAGTAGTAGTCGCAGTAGTATGGTAATAATGGAAGTAGAAGCAGCAGCAATAGCAGTAGTAGTAGTTGGACTAGTAGTAGTAACAGCAGCAATAGTAGTAGTATAGTGGTCGTAGTCGTGAGTAGTAGTCGCAGTAGTATGGTAATAATAGAAGTAGAAGCAGCAGCAATAGCAGTAGTAGTAGTTGGACTAGTAGTAGTAACAGCAGCAATAGTAGTAGTATAGTTGTAGTCGTGGTAGTAGTAGTCGCAGTAGCATGGTAATAATAGAAGCAGAAGCAACAGCAATAGCAGTAGTAGTAGTTGGACTAGTAGTAGTAACAGCAGCAATAGTAGTAGTATAGTTGTAGTCGTGGTAGTAGTAGTCGCAGTAGTATGGTAATAATAGAAGTAGAAGCAACCGCAATAGCAGTAGTAGTAGTTGGACTAGTAGTAGTAACAGCAGCAATAGTAGTAGTATAGTTGTAGTCGTGGTAGTAGTAGTCGCAGTAGTATGGTAATAATAGAAGTAGAAGCAACAGCAATAGCAGTAGAAGTAGTTGGACTAGCAGTAGTAACAGCAGCAATAGTAGTAGTATAGTTGTAGTCGTGGTAGTAGTAGTCGCGGTAGCATGGTAATAATAGAAGTAGAAGCAACAGCAATAGCAGTAGAAGTAGTTGGACTAGCAGTAGTAACAGCAGCAATAGTAGTAGTATAGTTGTAGTCGTGGTAGTAGTAGTAGTAGTAGGTATGGTAATAATAGAAGTAGAAGCAACCGCAATAGCAGTAGTAGTAGTTGGACTAGTAGTAGTAACAGCAGCAATAGTAGTAGTATATAGTTGTAGTCGTGGTGGTAGTAGTCGCAGTAGTATGGTAATAATAGAAGTAGAAGCAACAGCAATAGCAGTAGTAGTAGTAGTTGGACTAGTAGTAGTAACAGCAGCAATAGAAGTAGTATAGTTGTAGTCGTGGTAGTAGTAGTCGCAGTAGTATGGTAATAATAGAAGTAGAAGCAGCAGCAATAGCAGTAGTAGTAGTTGGACTAGTAGTAGTAACAGCAGCAATAGAAGTAGTATAGTTGAAGTCGTGGTAGTAGTAGTCGCAGTAGTATGGTAATAATAGAAGTAGAAGCAACAGCAAAAGCAGTAGTAGTAGTTGGACTAGTAGTAGTAACAGCAGCAATAGTAGTAGTATAGTTGTAGTCGTGGTAGTAGTAGTCGCAGTAGTATGGTAATAATAGAAGTAGAAGCAACAGCAGTAGCGGTGGTAGTAGTAGGAGTAGTCGTCGTCGTCTTCGTGAAGCAGATCCTCTACCTACCGGTGACACAAAAGGTGCCTGTACTCGTCAGTGGAGGTTTACACACACACACGTTGTGCTCACACTGCACCATGTCGGGTGGACTGCACTCCGTCGTGCAGTTTTCGTTAAGGCCGGGGATAGGATTTGGTGATGTCAAAGATGAGGAGCTCTGAAACGAATAATGATCGCGGTGTAAAACATGGAGAATATAATACTCCACGAGAAACATCGGATTGTCGGATAATCAGATACTGAATAGTGTAAGCCCAAAGTTTCCACAAAGCAATGCACACAACCTAACACGACATAAACTACATAGATTCTATTGACACTATGTAGGACACTAGGACACTAATTACACTACACCAGGTAAACAGACAATAAGCTACTACATATATAACACATAGTAAAGAATTAGGATGTCACATACATTATACCATGTAAATAATAGAACGCTATGGAAACCATGGAAACAATGGTCCTTGTTGAGGGTAAACTTCTCACGTAGCGTATATAGTGTCCTTGTTGAGTGAATACTTATGTAGCGTGTATAGTGTCCTTGTTGAGTGCATACTTCACATGTACTGTGTATATTGTCCTTGTTGAGTGCATACTTCTCATGTAGTGTATATAGTGTCCTTGTTGAGTGCATGCTTCTCATGCAGTGTATATAGAGTCCTTTGTTGAGTGCATACTTCTCATGCAGTGTATATAGAGTCCTTGTTGAGTGCATACTTCCCATGCAGTGTATATAGAGTCCTTGTTAAGTGCATACTTCTCATGCAGTGTATATAGAGTCCTTGTTGAGTGCATACTTCTCATGCAGTGTATATAGAGTCCTTGTTGAGTGCATACTTCTCATGCAGTGTATATAGTGTCCTTGTTGAGTGTATGCTTCTCATGCAGTGTATATAGTGTCCTTGTTGAGTGTATGCTTCTCATGCAGTGTATATAGTGTCCTTGTTGAGTGCATGCTTCTCATGCAGTGTATATAGTGTCCTTGTTGAGTGCATACTTCTCATGTACTGTGTATAGATTCCTTGTTGAGTGCGTGCTTCTCATGCAGTGTATATAGAGTCCTTGTTGAGTACATACTTCTCATGCAGTGTATATAGAGTCCTTGTTGAGTGCATACTTCTCATGTAGTGTATATAGTGTGTATAGATTCCTTGTTGAATGCATACTTCTCATGTTGTGTATATAGTGTCCTTGTTGAGTGTAAACTTCTCATGTAGTGTATATAGTGTCCTTGTTGAGTGCATACTTCTCATGTAGTGTATATAGTGTCCTTGTTGAGTGCATACTTCACATGTAGTATATATAGTGTATTTGTTGAGTGTAAACTTCTCATGTAGTATATATAGTGTCCTTGTTGAGTGCATACTTCCCATGCTCTATATATAGTGTCCTTGTTGAGTGCATACTTCACATGTAGTATATATGGTGTCCTTGTTGAGTGTACACTTCTCATGCAGTGTATATAGTGTCCTTGTTGAGTGTACACTTCTCATGTAGTGTGTATAGTGTCCTTATTGAGTGTACACTTCTCATGCAGTGTATATAGTGTCCTTGCTGAGTGTACACTTCTCATGTAGTGTGTATAGTGTCCTTGTTGAGTGTATACTTCTCATGTAGTGTATATAGTGTCCTTGTTGAGTGAACACTGATCATGTGGTGTATATAGAGTCCTTGTTGAGTGCATACTTCACATGTAGTATATATGGTGTCCTTGTTGAGTGTACACTTCTCATGCAGTGTATATAGTGTCCTTGTTGAGTGTATATTTCTCATGTAGTGTGTATAGTGTCCTTATTGAGTGTACACTTCTCATGTAGTGTATATAGTGTCCTTGTTGAGTGTACACTTCTCATGTAGTGTGTATAGTGTCCTTGTTGAGTGTATACTTCTCATGTAGTGTATATAGTGTCCTTGTTTAGTGTACACTTCTCATGTAGTATATATAGTGTCCTTGTTGAGTGTACACTGATCATGTGGTGTATATAGAGTCCTTGTTGAGTGTATGCTTCTCATGCAGTGTATATAGAGTCCTTGTTGAGCGTCAGTTTCTTGTATATAGTATTAATTTATAGACAGATAGACAGACAGAAGTGTATTTCGTAATCTCGGCCTCTTGGCCCATAATAATTTATGGCATGTAATGTGTGTAGTAGTCAAATGATATGATGTATAAGTATACGGTGTCAGTGTTAGTGTTAATGTCAGTGTCCATGGAATCTATATGTTTCTCCGGTGGTGTATAACGTGATCTAGTAGTGCACATAGTATTCGTTTAGCTATTTTAGTGTCCATGAAGAGAAATATATCTCCCTGCGCTGACAACAGTGACCTACTGATGTGAATATGTTACGTACTCTATTTAGCGCAGCGTATACATACCTCAAGGTGTGTATAGTATATATGTGTAGCATACATAGTATGTCTATACTGTATATTATATTCCTCCGGTAGTGATCGTATAGTGTCTCCAGTGTCCATGAATGTATAGAGTGTTTATGTGTTAAAGATTTCTCATGTAATGTTTTCAGAATCCGTGAAGTTTATACAATGTCCATATGGTGTATACAGTTACCATGTATGGTATGTGATTACCATGTAGAGTATATAGTTACCATGTAGTGTATATAAGTTACCATGCAGTGTATACAGTTACCGTATAGTGTTGTTTATAGTGTGTATGTAGCATGTATGGCATCAACCTAATAAATATATTGCCCATGTTGTGGGTTTGTGGCCATGTCTATTCAGACCGGATTTCCTTTGGACGTGGAAAGAATGTTGATGCTTTTATTTTGAGTGAGTGAGTTTAGTTTTACGCCGCACTCAGCAATATTCCAGCTATATGGCGGCGGTCTGTAAATAATCGAGTCTGGACCATACAATACAGTGATCAACAGCATGTGCATCGTTCTGTGCAATTGGGGTACGATGAATTTGACCTCGACCCGTCTCTGATTTAACTGTGCTGATGAAATTCACTATCTACTATCTAGGTGATGTCAGTACGCGTGTTGGTCAGTGAGAGTCATGGTTGTGGTCATCGGATGTGGTCCAGGATGTGTTACAATACATGAGTAAGTGAGTGGGTTTAGTTTTAAACCGTACTTAGCAATATTCCAGCTATATGGCGGCAGTCAGTAAATAGTCGCGTGTGGATCAGACAATCCAGCTATCAACAACATGAGCATCGATCGATGCAATTGGAGTACGATGACATGTGTCAACCAATTATATTAAGTCAGCGAGCCTGACCACCCGATCCTGTTAGTCGCCTCTTACGACAAGCATGGGTTGCTGAAGATCAGTTCTAACCCAGATTTTTACGGGTCCCTTTATTTTGAAATGATTCAGGTCTGTATCTATACAGAATACCTTCCATGCACATCAGTTCATTTTATCTGTACTTAACTTACATATAGTCAGTCGAGTAGATTTGTCTCCCTTGAAATACTAACGCGCTCGAGGTAATAAATGCTCTAACGATATCTGAACGAATTCAGTGAGACCTACAAAACAAGCAAAACAGTAGCCGTGTTACCTGAATCCCAGCTAGAAAGATGACTTCCACTAAAAGCAAGCCGTATCGCAGAGTGGTTGTCATCTTGAAAGTCAGTTTGTGTCGACTGTGGAGAAATTCACCGCTGCTGGACCAGAGCGAACTGAGGTGACACCTATAGAACCCTTACACCTGAACACGATACACTACCGAGTTCTCCGTCCTGTCATACGGTAAAGTGGGTCACGATAAGAACGGACAATTTACAATCATGTGATACCTTTGGCAAACGTGAGCAGATTTCGCAATCTGGCGAGGTGTTATTCGATCGCCTAGATCCCTCGTATCTGCACAGCACTGAACGTGGACTGTACGAGTGGGCTGGACGCACCTAATACTGGCATAGCCGCAAACATGATAGCTTTATGCACTTCCTTATGCAGCCTTTGAATCGTGAATGTAAACAATGCAATAGTATATCCCTATAGGATGTCAAATGTCACATTCACCGATGTTGAAGGACGTCGTTATTAAACAGGTGTATAAGACTGTTATTTAGGTATTAAAGTCGCACTGCATATTTCCTGTCTCGCCTCCCACCGGAAGTGATGCCATTAATGTGATGCCGGAAGCGGACATAGGTTTCTATTAGGGTAACTTTCAGCTATAAATCACAGAAAAGAAGAACAAAGTTCAGACGTGTAAAAATATTTTAATATATTCCACACCTTGTGATTCTTGGAGCATGTTTCATTAAATGTGATGACCGTACATAGTTATTCTTCAGAGGCCCAGGATACTTTGACGAAAATGAAAGCACATTTCATCTAAAGTTCACTTAGTACATAGTTTATCAGCTATCTATGCGTGATACTGATGGCATGTACGAGAAACTGATAACACTTGGGACAAGAAAAGGACTCAAGGTGACAAAGAGTTTCCAGAAATACCCACTGAGACTGAATGACAAAAGAATGTGACATGTGAACGTGACAAACTAGAGTGACAATATTCAATACCTGTTAAGATTCTGTGAGAAGTGATCTTCAGCGACCCATGGCTGGTTGGTTTGTTGTTCAACGCCGCACTAAGCAATATTCCAGCTATATGCCGCTGTCTGTAATTGAGTCTGAACCAGACAATCCAGTGACCAACAGCATGAGCATGGATCTACACAATTGGGGGGATAGGATGATATGTGTCAACCAAGTCAGCGAGCCTGACCACCCGAGCCTTTTACGACAAGCATGGGTTGCTGGAGACCAATTCTAACCCGAATCTTCACGGCTCGTTAACTTGGCTGATGAATGTTGGTCCTAATCAACGATCCTCCCACCTCGTTGATCCCAATGGCGTATTGGATGCTCGCAGCGTCACTCATTAGATTGTCTGGTCCAGACTCGATTGTTTACAAACTACTGTCGTATAGCTGGACAATTGCTGATTGCGGTGTTAAACGATAAGCAAACACAACATCCGATGCATCAGTGAAGCTTTTAAAACGTGTTACGGTAGTTGCATGGAGTACCTCTACAGATGTGACGCATCAATAACAAAATAAATCCTGTCTTATAAAAATTCCAGTTTCGCCTTGTACCTGAAGAGCTGACTTGCCTTTGCATATTTACGTCATGGGTATCACAGGTGACGCAGTTACACTCACCTCGCGAACACCCGGTATCACCGATATTTGACACTGAAAACACCCTCAATATACGGTCGAAATCCTACAACTCTGATTTTAGAAGAACTTTCAATCTTATTATTACGGAAAGTGTAATGATTTACTATTTATGTGTTTAGGTGCAATGTCCCACAGTAATTATGTGTAACTGCGTGTTCATAACACCTAATTCTGGAGCAAAGGATTAGGTAGTCAAAAGAACGTAATCTTGAATCCATCCATTTATCATGCATATTTATCAAGCATAATTGTCAAGACCCGGACATTATTCTTGATGTCTATGCACTGTTCCAGTTATGCAGCTTATGAGCTGCAAGCCCAAAGCTTCTATATGTAAAAAAATAAAATTGTAGATATAGATTTCGTGTGTGTTTGTTTGTATTTGCTTTTTATAAGAGTAGGCCATTCCAGAAACCAAAAGTTAAGTTTTACATAAATAAGGATTGGTTGAAATGCGATATAACGCTAAGCTAATCTAGTGTATCACACATCCCTTATATTATGATACACTCGACCTTTTCGCCTCCAAATCTATCAATTACAAAATTACCACGGTTAGAGATAATAAGAGATAATAATATCGCAGCGTTGATTCCTAAACAAAAGATATCCAATGACCAAACATAATATATATTGAAAAACTGGGGTTATACTTCATGGAGTAATACATGACTTCGTAGTTTGTGTAGTCATTTAAATTGAATTTAACATAAGAGCGAGATGTTACATTGCCTCAGCGACTGTTAAATGAGATCCCTTTGGCGGTTGCAGATTCTTGTCAGCCTTGGCAATAGTTTCATCAAGATGTTGGCAATCAGGTAAGTCATAATTTCTTACATGACATTCTTTTTCTAATGTAGACCTGTGAAGATCCGGGTTAGAATTGATCTTCAGTAACCCATACTTGTCGTAAGAGGCGACTTCCAGGATCGGGGGGTCAGGCTCGCTGACTTGGTTAAGACATGTCATCGTATTCCAATGGCATCGATCGATGCTCATGTTGTTGATAGCTGGATTGTCTGATCCAGACGCGACTATTTACAGACTGCCGCCATATAGCTGGAATATTGCTGAGTACGGCTTAAACCTAAACTCACTCACTCACTCTTGTATTGTAACACATCCTGGACCATATCCGATGACCACAACCATGACTCTCACTGACCAACACGCGTACTGACATCACCTAGATAGTGAATTTCATCAGCACAGTTAAATCAGAGACGGGCCCAGGATTGTTAAATTCGAGGTCACCCATTCCATCATTGTTGGTGGTGTCAGTTGACAAGTTGCATCAGTATTTCACTTCAACTGAGATATTTGGGTCATTAGTGTTCATAATATACAACTCACACCTTGCTAAGGATCACAAAAATTCACAACTTTACATAAACGTAGATTTATAATTTGAAATTGTAACAGTCACTTTAATCTAACCTTATGCACTTGAGGCATGAGTAACCACAAAAATGGGAGCAGGTATGGGATCCACAAGACGAAATGACATACTGAAACCGAGGATCCATGCTTACAATAAGCTTAGATATTTAAACCAGATTTGACCCCACATCATAGTTTTCTGTTGAATCCATGATTTGATCCTAAGTGAGCAAAGTGTGAATAGTATATTGTGATATTTTCAAAAGGTGGAAAGAAACATGAATTGAATTATAGGATATTCAATAATTTCAAATACAGTATCGTTCCAGGATAACTTTATTCTTTGTTCTAAAATGATTTTGTTAATTTTGTTCCATGCAGGTTCGCGCCGATGATCAGATAGTCCTTTGTCCAAACTTCAGTCCTTCTTCAGGTAAAACACTTCTTGGCCTTGCTGGTAAAAAAAACAGGAGCATTTGGTTTGGTGTGAAAACAATAACAACATTTTTGTATACATCTATGATTTTTAACAAAAATTTGTTCTTCTTTTTGTTCCCATAATTGAGTACAAGCATATAAAGTAAAGCAATAAATGTACAAATACATGATCAAGGTTAGTTTAAATCATGATATGTTTCGCGCATTGGTTATTTTAATGTAAATAATTATTACATATTAATATTAAAGATTAAGATTAAATATGTGCAAAAGGAAGTGAATCTGTCATCGATGAAACGGAATGGTACATGGTACTTACTTTCTTACTTTAATGGAGGAATCTTAAATGAAGTACCAATTTGAGTGAGTGAGTATGGTTTTACGCCGCTTTAGCAATGATCAGACAACATCACGGCGGGGGACACCAGAAACTGGATTCACACAGTGTACGCATGTGGAGAATCGAACCCGGGCCGAACGTTTAAACCACTAGGCTATACAACCGTCCCTATTTATTTTTAGATATGACAAAGTACTCACTTAGAACAAGAGCAATCACAGCCACAATGAGGATTGCTATTATGGAACCACATGCGGCGGACACATCTATTAAGCTTTGGGCATCTGAAATATAGAAATTGAAATAATAAATTTAACCCCTGCCAGCGTTTATTGCAATATCTGAACTGGTGATCAAAACTCGAGAAAACATGTCTCATGTTTTAGTATAGCATAAATATCCATATCCGGTGTTCGAACAGGGAATCGGGGGTTAGGATTGGTAAACTGGACAATCATAATCTGACAGCATGGTATATGCTCATGATATCAGTCACTGGTTTGTATCATTAAGACTGTTATTAACAGTTCGATTTCATGTAGTTTCTGAAAGTGACGTTATTGAGTTCTTGAAAGGCCTTTAGAAGTTGTAAGAACATAAATCCATGACATTTGTTTATGGATAACAACTTCTTTTTATTCTTTATACCAGATGAAATGAAGTTGTTATCCATAAAAACGTTACGCCAACAGAACATAGCGAAAAATCTGACTATAAATGACATTTTGAAATCTGATATATCAGAGAGTGAATTAAATAGTGCTATAAACAGGCTGAAATGTGGGACTGCACCTGGCCCCGGAAATAATCATGAAATGTTGTAGTATTTTAGTTCTATATTTGACAGTATTGTTCAATTGTGTCATGCGTACGGGCGTGTTTCTTTCTATTTGGGCTAAAAGTATTATTATACCTTTACATAAGAAGGGAAGTGTGAAAGATGTTAATAATTATATCTTTGATAGACACATTAGGAAAATGTCTGACTGTGGTTTTGAATGAAAGATTAGCTCAGTTTGCCGATTTGTATGAGAAGATCCCAGAAGTACAGGCTGGATTTAGACGTGGTTACTGTACTGTTGATAATATCTTTCAAAAATATCTATCTAAAAAGGGAGGAAGGTTTTATTGCATTTTTGTAGATTTCAAAAAGGCTTTTGACTCTATTAACAGGAAACTTCTTTGGTATTCTATAATGAAGAATGATGTTCATGGTCGTATATTAGTTCTTTTAAAGAATATGTATTCTAAAATTCATTGTGCAGTTAAACTTTCTAATACTTCAGTGTCAGAGTTCTTTGATTCATTAAGTGGTGTTCGTCAAGGGTGTATTATTGGTCCATTTTTATTTTCCATGTTTATGTTAGAAGTTCAGAGCATGATAGAATCTTCTACTCTAAGAGGTATATCAGTTGGTCAAGAGTTTATGGAAATAATGTTATTATTATA